CTTCTACTATTTCATCTCCTTCGACTAAATCATCTTCATCTTCATCATCTTCATCTTCATCCGATGAGCGTCGATGAAGAAGTTGAAGTGATGTATGAGCTTCTGGATTAACAAGAAATGTATTTGTTGAATTAATTGTTGTATCAATAAACGGATTTTCTGCCATTGTTATTCTTATTTGATAGAATTCGTTAACTAAATTCTTTTATTCATTTCCATCAAGTTTCTAGTTAACACAATAAACTTTCTAAAAATATTCACAATTATTCATTTTCCCAAAGATGTGACGGTTGAACAATTTGATTGGCTAACAATAGTCACTAAGTATAATGAATATTAGATAGTTGTCGCTAATTATTATCGTTATATATATATAGTAGTGGTCAAAATTGATAATACAAGATATTTTTGATTTTTTCGTACAATACCAAATATCTAACTTAAATCCGAATAGTAGTTTAAATAAACAATAATTTCGAGAATAAGGTTTCTAAAAAAGAAACTGAAAATCGTGATTATCAAATCTCAGAAGACATAGTTTTTGTTCGTATATTATTTTAAAGAGCACGAAATTCTGAATAAGATGAAAATTTGCTAAGTTTTCTACAATATTCTTTTAAAAGTGTGCAAGGATCACAGAAATGAAGAAATTCTTTTTTTGTTTTTAGTTGATTTTCAGTGGTTTTCAAATTGATTTCGGTTTTTTTTTCAATGCTTATAACTCTTTAACCCTTTTGAAGCCGACTTTCTTTTTCTACAGAAATTTAATTATAGTTGAAAAGTATTATTCATAATTTTTTTGATTCAAACTTAATGTTAAAGATATACGATGTCTATTTTGAAATAAAAACCTAAAAATGTAATAAACTATAAAATTTCTTGAAACAATTAACAACATAAAAATCTGCATCACAATTTTACATAATTATATAGCGTAGATCGGTGCTCTTTCTTCGACTAGTGTATGCATATACAACATAAAGTTTCTAGAGAGTTTTTCTATTTGTTGTGTAAGATACAAGAAATGGAAAGTGTTCTAGCAGTAAATCTAGTTCATTGATAAGTCAATACAGAATGGTCTATTATAGATTTTGGAGCAATATAAGTTTCTAAGATTTTATGAATAAGTTATAAACAATGACGAACTGCACCGAGCTAAAAATATGTATACTCTATCTAGACTACTCTATAATGTCTATACGTGTAACATGTATATTGGAATAAAATCCATAATAAAAATTCTAATTTTAGTGTATCTAAGGATCTCTTTACTTAGTCAAATTTCGAAATCGTATAAATACGAGCTTGGCTTTCAAAAAGTTAAATAGTTATCTGGCGGTTTAGAATTTGATTGTGTCAGACACTTCCGTATGTATTTATAGAAATACATTGTATTCACAACGTGTGTACCAATATGGTTTTAGAATTGTCAATGCAATAGTGGGCTTCATACAAACCAATAATAGTGTCTTATGCATACTTTGCATAGTTTCGCTATAGTAAACGAGAAAAAAAATCGGGAAATCAGAACATACGATTGATCTTAGCGACCTCCGCTACGATATATGCTTATGATAGATGGTCTATCATGTACAATAAACAATGACAGAATACACTGAGCTAAATATACATATACTTTATCTAAACTATTCGTAACATCTATATGTATACCACGTATGTTGGAATAAAAGATTCATACTAAAAAACCCAATTTTAGTGTATTTAAGGGCTTCTTTCTTGAGTCAAATTTCAAAGCTGTGTATATATGCGGCCACAATTCCCAAACAGATTAAGAGAAGATCGTAGAAAATGTGTCCATCCTTCAATCTATTCAGTATTTTCTGCTCTATAATATGCTATTGTCAAAAATTAATTCTTGTAAAGTCTACTGGAACATGAAAATCACCGTTTTCGGTTTTTTAGAAACCTTGCTCTCGTAGTCTATCTATGAAATTTTAGTGTGGATTACAATTGATAGAGAATTTCATTGTCTATTCAAACTACTATTTAAATTCGAGTTTGCTGCTGGATATTGCTGGACAAAAATCAAAAACACATTGTTTTTATCATTTTGGCCATTATTGTATATATGCGTCATTTCAGGGAAAACGGGATATACCTCCTTTCATTTGACTTTGATTTTTTGACAAGGGTTATTTTTTGGATTAAGTTATTTTCGCATAGGTAGATGTGAAAATGTTGATTCTTCCAGCTGACTATTAATTAGTTAATCAATTAAAAAGTAATTAACAAATATCTCTCTAACCATATGAGAAAAAACAATTCGAAAACTTCAAGATAGATCCTATGGTATGGTCTGCATCTATGGTGAAAATTTCAGCAAGAGCGAGCTTGAAAAAAAATTTCTCTAAAAATCGGTTTTCTAGAGATCATGTCAAGACAGAAAAAATTTCTGTCTTAACATCTTCTAGAGATTTCGAGGGAGAATTTGTACCATTTGGAATTGATGTCGAACTTCTCATTCGATTATAAGAGCATTTTTTCGTTTGTATATTCATACTCGGTCGTGTTACTAATGAAAAGTAAATCGATTTTTTGAAAAATTTAGGCATACTCAGAAACAATTTTGCATAAAGATTTTGCAGTTGTCTACAGAATGTACTATGTCTGTTTTTAAAAATGTTGCCTCAATTCAGAATTTTTTTAAAATAAAGTGTATAAAGCGAAAGTCAATGTTCTGGTTGTGTTACATTGCCAACGCTAATTATTACTGATAATTCCATAGAAAAAAGTTCTCTAGTGCTTATTTTCTTCAGAATGTCTAGAGTAATTTAACATACATGTAACATATAAAAATTAGCTCTAGGAAAGCTCATTATCCTAAGATAAGACATTTTAATTTTGCGAAGTGACATCACTAACGGATGATTTTGCCCATATACATATATATTTTTTTATTTTTATAAATGAATTAAGATCGTAAACAATCATTCAGATTAGAAAAGAAAAAGAAAGTTGTTTTGAAGCTTACTATACGGTACTAAAAGGTCACTGGCACTACTTTTGGTATGCCCTAAGTAGATTCTGAAAAGATATATTCCACAAGATATTTATTGGGGCCGTACAAGTAAACTGTTTTAGTCTCTTCTCACTTGTAAAGACGTTTCGAAACTTGATAAATAATTGAACGAACAGATCGAATGCTCAGTATTCCCTCAGTAGTGACCTGTTTCTACATGACTCAGCCCATGTTCGAGTGAATGATCTTTTGCAAATAGCTTAGCAAGAATGTCCAAGTGTTTAAATTGATGAAATTCTTCATCAGGTTATTGCTAGACGTAAATAATGAATTGTTTTATTTAGATTGTTATTCATGTGCTTCAAATACACAAATTGCATCTTCACATGTTTTAAAATTAATAGTAACCTGGGTTCTTTTTATGGCGGTAGAATCTGTATGATTTTTCAGTGGTACATTTCTATTAGATATACATATATAATGTCGTATCGATTGCAAAAAGACTTCAAATATTCACCTTCCAGAACTGAAAATGATACTTTAGTTTTAATAAATATAGTTCAAACGAAGAGCATAAGACGAGTAAAATGGAAGTACTTCATATATCGTTTTTCTTTCTTGGGTGAATTTTCTTAGTTATAATGACTCTTATCAAAAATATAAAAGTTTTTCATTTCATCATATTTTGTTAATAAAAATAAAATCTAACTAAGAATAAAACTGCATTTTTGTACTAGGTTATTACAAAACTATCTGAGCAGCGTTAATGGTAATTTGCCATAGTTGATCAAGTACTCGTTATATTCATTTGTTGTCTGATCAGATTTGTTTAGGTGTAGAAAGAAGACCGATTGCAACCGATATGAGAAGATTAATTTTATCGTTTGCTTTGGATATCTGTAATAATCGGAAAGTCATTGAATTTTTTGATCTCATCGACACCATCATCATGTTACATTGGATCTTATTATTTCGTCAGTCGTTTTAATGATCCTACATTCAAATGCTGCTTTGAAAAGTTAGCTCACAGTCTTCACTTTCATCGTCATTGTCTTCATTATCATCGATAGGTGATAATAATACTGGGTTTAGTTTCATCTGTCTGATACTATGACATGAATAAATATGCTATTAATACATAAGCGTCTTACGCTCTTTGAATAGGCACAAAAAGAAGTTGTCAGTCTGTATCAATATAAACAAACGCAATGCTGTTATTTTTTTTTGCAATGAGTGATAGTAAATCAGGAAGATTTATTATCAATATATGAGATGAATGTTACACAAAAGAGTAAATAAGTAAACTTTCAGAACATTGATGAGATAAAACAAAATCATCGACTGTCAAATGAAAGTTCATTCTTCTGTTTTTCATGTTTGTAATTTTTTTTTTTGGTGACTTGCATAAACACTAAAATGCTTCACTGAGTTGACAAGACCTAATAAAACCATTGTATTGATTAAATATTCATGATCTGACAACAAAATTAAAATGGAAGTTAGTCAAGTGTCCTCATTTCATCTTGAAAACTTGGATAATAAAGACAATGTATAGATGAATCGGAGATATTTTTATTGATTAAAATAAGAAAAATATTCTTGATTTTTATTTAGATAACAACTATTGCATTCTCATGTTAGTTCTTTGACAAGCTATGAAAACAAAAAACCAATTTCTTTATTCATAGCCAAAGAGTATGTATATTTTATCAATGTTTGTATTCAAAAAAAAAAAGGCAAAAAGCAAGAAGAAATACAAAATAACAAAAACACAAACAATATCGGGCAAATCCACATAATGACAAAAAACAAAATAGATTTGATCACAGGCCATTTTTCTTAACTATTCAAGACGATATTCAAACATGAAATAAAGGAAAAAGAAAATAGTCTACTGCAATGATTCTTTTCTTCTTATTTTTTTTTGTCTCAATTGTTTTAAACAAAAACAAAAATCTCGGATTATTATATCTGACATAAAATGGTAGAATTATCATAAGAAAAATTTTTTTAAAATTCTCTACGAAGAAAATGACCAACCTAAAAGAAAAAGATACAAAAACAAAAATTAAACGTATATATATATATATATAAATATACCTGAATTCATAGCTGGTGGTCTTTCACGATCTCTTCCATTATGATTTCCTTGCGAATTCATCGAACCAAAACCAAAAAGCCGACCATCTCCATCATTACCACGATTACCATAACGATTACGACCACCAGTAAATTCACGTTTTCGTTCCTGCATTGTTTGAAAACGTTCGGCCATTTCGCGTAATTCACCCGGTACATTCTAAAAAAGAACGAGGATTATTTATTGATTTCAAAAATAACAAAAAAACAAATACTTGTCCAGCTTCTTCTAAAATCTTTATAAGTCGACCAGCACTACCCCAATTTTCTCGAGTAACTAATGAAATAGCATATCCTAAAAATAAAATAAATATTTTTAAAAGAAAACAAACAAACAAATAAACAATCTACCTGTTTTGCCAGCACGACCAGTTCGTCCAACACGATGAACATAATCTTCCATTGATTTTGGCAAATCATAATTGAAGACAACTCTTAATATAAAAGAAAACTTTTATTAATTTTTATTAAATAAAAAAAAAAGAAATTTAAAATAAAAACTACGTGATATCTTGAATATCTAAACCACGTGAAGCTACATCAGTAGCAATGAGAATATTCACAGTTCCTAATTTTAAATCTTCAAGAGCTTGTTCACGATCACTTTGTTCTCTAAAACAAAAAAAAAAATTTATTAGAAAAAGAAAAACATACTACTATCGGAATTTTAAAAGAAGGTACCTGGAAAAAAAAGCTTATAACTTTCGAACGAAAAGTCATAGCGACCTGCAGTTTTCAGCAATCGATAGAAGATTATAGGGGGACACATTTTTATATAAAAATCAAGGTTTAAATAATCGGTGATTGTGGAATCACTGAAAGAGTAGGCTCGTTATTTGGTGAAATCTCAGCAGAATAAGCTGAAACTTTCAGTATATATAGCCCTACTCTACCCCAATCTTCGCTGAAAATATCATTGATAAATCTTGTAATGACGAGGAATGGTGAGCCAATCATCATCTGGCCCTACATAAGACTCTCATTTATTCAAAATATTAGGAAATGGCCTTAACTTTTGGCTGAATAAATATCATAATCTAGACTTCATATCTATGCAATTATATCATAGTTTGATTCAATGAACGAGAAGAGACGATGAAAATATTACTAAATTCTGCATTTCTCTTAAGAAAGTTGGAAAGATTTGTTTTAAAATACTTACTGTATGAAAATCATTTTTTCGTCGAACTTTGGCTATTTCCGTACATTTTTACGATCAAAGTGCGATGCTATTGCATAGATATAAAGTCTAGATTATGATATTTATTCAGCCAAAAGTTGAGGCCATTTCCTAATATTTTGATTGAATGAGTGCCTTATGTAAGACCAGATGATGATTGGCTCACCATTCCTCGTTATTACAAGATTTATCAATGATATTTTCAGCGAAGATTGGAGTAGAGTGGGGGCTATATATGCTGAAAGTTTCAGCTTGTTCTGCTGAGATTTCACCAAATAACGAGCCTACTCTTTCAGTGATTCCACAATCACCGATTATTTAAACCTTGATTTTTATATAAAAATGTGTCCCCCTATAATCTTCTATCGATTGCTGAAAATCGCAGGTCGCTATGACTTTTCGTTCGAAAGTTATAAACTTTTTTTCCAGGTGCCTTCTTTTAAAATTCCGATAGTAAATCTAAAACTTTACCGATCACCATGAATCGATTGACAAGAGATACGTTTTCGAATAAGTTCACTTGCAACAGCATCAGCTCTACATACGAAATATAAAAAAAAAACAACGATAATATTATATCTTAACTATAATTAACTTACGATGATTTACGATCAACAAAAACAATCATTTTATCTTCAGAATCCATTCGACCAATAAAATCCATTAACTAAAATCAAAATAAAGAAAACAAATTTTTATCATAGATTTTTCTTTACTAAATCAAATTTTTCTTCTTCTTTAATAATTTCAATTTCTTGTCGAACACTGTGTACAGCCTATGAAAAAGTAAAGTTATTAACAAATAAATACGTATATATATATATATAATACACATACAGTTAGATCAAGTGTACCAACATAAATTTGAATGGGATTACGCATGTAACGAGCAGCAATACGTCGTACATCTTCAGGCCAAGTTGCACTATACAAAAAAAAAAAAATAATCAATACAATCATAAATTATTTTCATTTAAACCTAGTCATTATTGTTTGTCGATCTGGTCGAATATCCAGAAGAATCTTCATAATTTGTGGTTCAAAACCCATATCTAACTAAAATGAGAATAGAACAAAGAAAATAAACAAGTCAATAAAATTTAAACAACAAAAAAAAAAACAGCAACTTTCATTCTTCTTACCATACGATCGGCTTCATCAAGTACCTAAGTATATTATGAAACAAAATTCATGTAATCATAAAACAACAAATACTTGAATTCTTACCAAAAAAGTAACAGATCGTAGATCAATAACATTACTCATAACAAGATCATTAAGACGACCAGGTGTTGCAATAATAATTTCAACACCTTAAACAAAATGAAAACAAAAATACAACTAGATGACTTTTTCAAATATTCATACCGGCTTCACATTGGAATATTTGATTTTTACGACTACTACCACCATAAATAACAGCACTAAATATATTTAAAAAAAAAAAGAACAAAATAAATACAATGTCATTTCTTTTCAAATAAACAAACCTTCGTATACCACGGTAATTATATTTTTGTACTTCTTGATGGATTTGTATTGCTAATTCACGTGTTGGTGAAAGAATAAGTGCTTTAGGACCTTGTAATAATATTTTGGATCTCAATAGAAAATAATTCGTTTGTTAAAAATTTCTACAATTATTCATAATAAAAATAATATTTACTTTGGTTGATTATCAATATGAATAAGAGCAGGTAATAGAAATGCAAGTGTTTTTCCAGTACCAGTCTAACAATAGGATATATATGAAGAAAATACAAGTATTTATGTAAATCAATAAATACCTGTGCAATACCAATAAAATCATAACCTTGTAAAGCAACAGGCCATGCTTGACATTGTATAGGTGATGGTTCAGTAAAACCTTGTTTAGCAATTTCATTCATTATTTCATGATAATTATGAAAAGCATGAGCAAATTCATAGATTGGATTTGGAATAATTAATTTAGAATTATTTTTTTGTTCATAATCATCTTTCATTGATGGATCAAACCATGTAACAACAATATTATTTTTTTCAGCACGTAATCCTTGAACATCTTCAATAGACATATTAGCTATATCAGATAATTCAACATAAAATTCTTTAATAACTGGTGGAAAATCTTTCCATTTTGTCATATCATTTGTTGTATCAGTACGACGCATTTTTGCCCAATCAACACGTTTAGTTGTATCTGAATTATTTGTATTCCATGTTGAAATTGGAGGAAAAATAGTAGTCATATTATATTTATCTTGTTTAATTTTATGATCATGTGATCTTTCTTCATCTGAACCAAATAATGTATCATAATCATCATCTTCTACACCAGCTGGAGCAAAACGACGATTTGATGTTTTTCCAAATTTTGAACGAGAAGATGAAGATACATTTGTATCTCGATTGTCTGATGTACCTAATAGAAAATTATTTTTTTTTGTTTTTGTTTTATTTTAATAAATTTTTCATTTTAAATAATCATTGAATAAAGTCAACAATTATTTCTAATAATGAATAATCAAACCTGTAGATTCTCTACCACGAGAATTGAAAATACGATTAACATTATGAGAATAAGTATTATTATTATCATTTTGAATATGATTTTGATTTGTTGTTGAAGAAAATCTATTTGTATTATTTGACATATTTTCATTTATTTTCGAACATGAAAATGAACCTGTATTATTCGTGTTAGAAGCTATTTTTTTTAGAAAAAAAAAAATCAATAAAGAAATAATTTAATAAATATAACACAACCTGTTTCAATAGATGATTTTGTTTGAAAATATTCATTTTTCTCTTTAATTGTACCTATAATATTTTTAATATGATCAAAAGCATTTTTAATAATTTGATCATTCGATCCTGAAATAATTAAATCAACCCATTGACTTTGACGCTCATTGGAAATTTTTATTTGTACATTATTCTCTCTTTGTATTTGTTTAATAGTTTCACCACCTTTACCAATCAATCGAGATACATCATTGGAATTTATTAAATAATCATGTGAAATTCTTTGTCCTAAATTACTATTAGTATTACGATTGAATTTATTTAATGAATGTGTTAAATCTTGAGGAGAAGAATTATTATTTTTTTTATCAAATGATTGTGACCTGAAAAATAAAAATTTAATAGAATAAAAAAGATTTTTAAATTCATTCAACCATGATTTTGTATTATTTGTTTTATTTTCACCAATTTCAGCATCCCAATCATCGCTTGTATGTGGAACATTTGTTTGTAAATGCTGATATTCGTTATGATTATTATCAAAACGATTGTTGCGAATAGAATTTGAATTTGTAAAAGTTCGAGTTGGAACTAATATTAAAATTTATTTTATTTTATTTTTTTCAATTAAAAATTTTAACTCACATCGATTATCAGCCATGTTATAATATCTTGTTAATGAACAATATCACTCTTAATATCTAGAATATTTATGTATGAAATATATATTTAATTTTAATCTAAACTATTTATAAGTATTACGTAGAATCAAAAATACCCAAATAATGACGAATCTTTTTTTTTCACATAGTGGTGAAAGAGAACAAAAAAAAAACAGAATTGTTTTTTTCTTTTTATCAGTCATACAAATTTCTCTAGGATGTAGTCAAATTCTTATGAAATTATAAATAATAATTCATTTTCTTTTCCAAAGAAAATTATCATAGCTGCATTTTATATAGTCGTTAGTTAAAAAAAAGAACCAAAGCTTGTTAGTGTAGCTTTTTATAAAGGTTCAAATGTGTAATTCACATATGTCGTATCATAACTAGGAGATAATTTAGTATAAAGTTTTTTTTTTTTCTAATATAATGAAATATACTTTAAAATTTAGAGCAAATGAAGTGTAAAACAGTGAAAGATTTATTTGTTTATTAAAAGCAATTAATATTGCTGATAAAATATTAAAATATTTTATTTTTAAATCATTTTCAATATGATTAAAATGTTATGAATTCTTTAATATATAAAACTAAATACAATATTATTATTTTTATGATATGATGAAGAAGGAAAAATTTACGACAACAATCAAAATGGATAAACTAATAAGTGACAACTAATACTAGTGCACCATAATTTTACATTCTTTCCTTTACTTATTTTTCTTTTTAATCTTAAAATTCCAATCAATATTATTCGCTATGCAAATCTCTTATTTTTGTCTGGATAACTACAATTAATACAGTAGTATTAAAATGATTGATTTATACCTGTGGTTCTTATGGAAACGTATTCAATGAATTTTAATCTCAATTACTAAAGTCCATAATGAAGAGCCGCAAAACTTCGATTTAAAACTTACACTCACTATTTTCCTCGAAAATATATGAGAGTTTTACAAAAAAAACAAAGTCTTTTAATATGAATCCATTTTCAGATGCCTATTGGCAACTGGAACTACCATTGTAAATGTAAACCATAGTGGCTTGATCATTAGACTTAAAAGAAGAGACGACGAACTTCATTGATCCCATGGCATACGATTAAGAGAAGGAAACTGACAAATTTCCTCCTTCTAGATGTTCTCTTGCGTTTAGCCTTTCTTTCTAAAACTTTTTTGTCAACTACTGTTTAACGAATCCATTGTCTTCGAAAGAAAAAGAAAGCTATTTTCTTTCAAAGCGAGAAGGCTTTCTTTGTTTTGTACATACTTTTCCCTCCCTCCTTAATAAAAACCAAGCGATAGTCCTGATTGATATGATTTCACTATTTGCGCAATACTCTTTTTCTGTGCCTCAAATCAAAAAATATTTAAACTTTTCTAATCTTTCTTTTTTTTTAAAAAACATATCCTTTTTGATTAGATCATCTCTTCTTTTATCAAAAAAAAAACCAGTATATATTATAACATGTAATAGACGAAAAAAAAAAAAAAGAACACAATCAACTCCAAAGCTGTACGAAATTGTCGAGTGAATATAAAAATGTTTCTAATCACAAGATGAAAAATATATAGCGAAATTTAATCTTTTTTTTTTTTCTTGTGTTTGTTTTTACTTGAAAGAAGATAGATCAAAATAAAATAAAATAAACTAAAGCCTAGACATCTTGGTTAACAATCATCATTCTATATTATGTCTGTTTAGGTCTTAACACCGGTCTTTCGCACTCAACATTTGTTAACTAATAGCATCAAGATAGAAGAAAAAAAAAAGGAAGAGAAAACATCAAGGAAATCCATCAATTGAAAATTCTATGAATCGTTCTAGTATAACAAAGATATCACCACTTGTCACATATAAAGAAAAGAAAAAGACATAATAAAGAAACAGAAAAATTAGCCATTGCACAGAAGCAAAAAAAAAAAAATTGACGAAGACGAAAGAAAAAAAAGATTCAGTCTATATCTGACGTTTAATAATTCCTTTTTTTTGTCCTCACAGGATTTATTTTTCATCAACAGGATCTGTCGTTGTTTCTTGTTTACTAATAGTTAAATCTTTTTTCTCTTCTTGTTCATCGACATTTGTTAATTCATCAGTCTATTTAAAATATAAAATAAAAATTTAAATTCAAATTTTTATATTAAACAAACTTTATTATCTTGAACATCTTGTGTTGATTGAATTGTTAAATCTTTTTCATCATTTGTTTGTGTTATTGATGATATTGATGAATTAAAAATTCGTGATTTATTTGGTCGATTTCGTCCAACAAGACGTTGTTGTTTTCTAACAGCATTTTCTTCTGAAACAATACGAATTTTTTCTAATTTATCAAGTAATGAATCAAATAATTCTTTTGATGTATCATCTAATGCATTATAATATTGTTTTTGTATCCAAAAACCATCATCTGTTGTACAATCAATTTCTTTTGTTTCAGGACATGTACGTTTAGATTTATGTCGTGGTGAAATTGATGAAGAATTTGATGATGATGAATCACCATAGTGTTGATATTGAAAATCATTTGATGTTCGATTTTGAATATTATTTGTATTATTAAAATCATTAACTTCACCTGGACGTTTATCTGTTTTACGTGAAGCTGATGTTGGTCGATGAGTAAAATCAAATGATGGAGTATTTTGAAAATTATATGATGGTTGAGGTAATTGAGTATTATTAGCAAGATGTAATGGTCTTGTCATAAAACCTTAAAACAGGAAATAATTTATTTTTTATAAATATACTTAGAACATATCAAAAGTAGTAATAGTAATACTTTAATTCCATATAAAAATATGACTGCTATTATTTTTTGTATATTTTAAATATTTACCTAATTCTTTATGTACTTGAGATAAATCAGCTGATGTAGTAAATGGTATTGATTGTTGTTCTTGTTCTTGTTGTTGTTGGTGTTGTTCTTGTTCTTGATAACGATTATTTGAAAGATTATGTTGATGAAAATGTTCAAGATTTTGATTAGGTATTGAAAGTTGTGGTTGATCATATTGAGGTGAATGATGAAATGATGATGATGATTGTAATGGAGTTTCAACATAATAAGAATCAAATATTTGCATAGCTTGATCATCTTCATTTCTTAAATAACCACGTATTGTATCAATAGCAAAATTAAGATTACGTGTTTGATATGCTGATAATGTACATTCAACATAACCATTTTCATTTGGATGACGAGCAAAACCAATATCACGTAAATGACATTTTGCTTGTATACGTCTTAAATTAGAACCTCGTGTACCTTAAAAAAAAATATATAAATTTAAAAGAAAGAGAAAATAAAAATAAATATTTAACTTACCAATAATACGTGCAGCACAATTACTTCGAATAAGAATTACTTGTTCAAATGCACCATTACGACCACGATTAAAAAATGTTCGTTCATGATAATTATTAAATGGTGATGATTGTCCTTGATATTGAGATGGTGATTGACGATAACTATTATTATAATCATGACGACGTTGTTGTTGATGATAATCATTGTTATTATTTGTTTTTGTACGTTGATAATTATTATTATCACCAATTGTGTGTTCTTCATCTATTAAACAAAAAAATAAAACTTTTTTTGTTTTATTTATTCAAAGATTAAATTCGTTTACCTTTGTATGGTTGAATAGGTATACCAAGAACATCATTAATAAAAGCAGTTATTTGTAGAGCAGCATCAATTATATTTTCATATAAATCACCAGTAATAGAAAGTTCATTTTGCCATTGTTTATCACCAAATTTAGGTAATTTTAAAGGCTAGAAAAAAAAAAAGAAAATTAGATATCTTAATTGAATAAATAGTCAATAGATCTATAAAAGATTTCATATTGAGAAAAATGAGTATAGGAATTGTTTTTATAATATTAATCTTCTACTTTAAATTCAATATAGAATCTATTGTCAAACAGATAGACTTGAATATTAAAATCTATCGATTACCAGAATATTTTACAATCTTTCAAAAAGTATGTATCGTTTTGTTACCAAATTTTAGATACGTGTGAATAGTGAAACTACTAAGAGTAAGAAGATTCAATGACGTTTACAGGCAAAAAATTCTTCATATAATAAAATATTGAACTGAGTTATAGTTTTCATTACAGTGAGGATTTCTTTTGTCTTGAAATGAGGCACATTTTTTAAATTATAAAGGCGCTGATGACTATTATCTAACCAAAAATTAACTTTTTTGTTTATTAGCTTTCTTATATATTTATGTATATATATTCTTCTCACATTTGTTACAGTGACATTTAAACGTTGTTGTAATGATCCAGCAAAAAAACTCCAATTTTCTATAATAAAAAAATAAATACAATTTAATAAGTAAAATATGTATTAATAAAAAATCTATACTTTTAAGTACTTCTTGTCCTTGACTTGTTATAAGCATTGAAAATGTATATTCAGGTTTTCGTTCAATTGGTATAAATTTCAATTGTTCTTGTTCAATATTATCATCTTTATTAGTATCAGTTTTTTCTTCACTAATTGATGAATCTGGATTAATTGTTGTTATAACTTCCGATGTTACATGAGAAGAAGAAGATTTATCATCAGACTTTTCATTATCTAAATAAAACAAAACAAAAAATAAATTAAAAATAAATTAAAATGTTTTATTAATAAAATTCATACCAATTGAAACTTCTGTTTCTTGAGGTTTTTCAATATTTTGTGTTGGAGTTTGTTGATTAATATTTTCACTATCATTTTGTATTGTTGTTCGATTTAAATGTTTAAACATTCGATTCATTAGCTCAATAAGACATTTTCGTACATTAGCTTCTGTACCGAAAATTTTGAATGAATGTTTTGTAGGATTTTGATAACCTGGCTGAAATTAAAAAATCAAACAAATAATAAATGTTAATTAAAAAAAATAAACTATAAATACTTACAAGTATTTTCACATGAAATGTATTCGCAATGGAATGTAAAGATGAATTTTCTTCTATAAAGAAAAAAAAAAATTCTTTTTGTTTTTCATTTTAGATTTTTACCTTCATGTCGACTTAGAAGATTTTTCTTCTGTCGATGATCAGTTAAAAAACGAATATTGCAAGAATTTTTATCAGATATTTGATAATTATTATATTTTTCCATAAGTTTTTCTCGATCACCTTGTTCAGTTGAATAACGAATATCTTGTGGCATTAATATTCGACGTGTTGTTTCTTGTTCATTTGAAGTATTATTTTCTGATGAAGAAGATTTTTCGTTTACATTTGATTTTTCAATATCTTCATTGTTATTTAATGTTTGATTTTCATTTGTAGTTTGATTTTCATTTGTAGTTTGATTTTCATTTGTTGTTTGAATTTCAGGATTTTCAGAAACACTTGTTACCTCGGTTGATTCCTGTTCTTGATTACTCATATTTAAAAGTCTATGAGAAAAAGAAAAAAATTACAAGAAATAAAAAGAAAAAAGATGATTTGTAGTTGTTGTTGTTGTTGTTGATTTATGAAAAAAGTTAAAATATGTGGGAAGAAAAATCTAGGTGAAAATTGGAATAATTCCAAATTTAAACGAAATTTTTTATGAAGATTTAATAAAGATTTTTTGTTAGATTTATTTGTTGTGGTTTATACGAAATAGTTTTCTTTCAAAAATAACAATAGATAATATTTTTTATAGATGGCAGTGTCTTGCAATAATTAACTTTTTCTTCCAGATTTAAAAAATTTTATCTAATGAATGTACAAAAGTTTTGTATAGGAAACAAAATTATTTTCTAAATTTTGCATGGTCACAAGTTGAAATCTTTAGTCTGTCACAAAAACTTAGTGAGATTCATCCTCTCCTGGTAACTTTTTTTTTAGTTACCCTATTAACAACAAATTCTTGATAATGATTTTAAAATTATGAAAAGTTCTACCAATGTCAAAAGAAGTCTTTTATTTTTCTATAAACAATACTATTGATAAAAAAGAGTGTCATACATCCTACAAGTTACTTTCAATATTTACTATACAAAAATCCTCCTAATATTATTTCGACAAATAAATATTTCAAAGGACAAGAACTTTTAATGGATATAAGTAAAATCTAATTTCTGATGGATCAAATATAAACTTGATTGAGTTAAGGAAATATAATAATCTTATATGTGATATTGTTTTGTTGCCAAGATATTAAGATTATAGTTATATTATGGAATGAAATTCTCTTTCACAATGAGGGGGTATTGGTGAGTTGATAGATCTTTCATATACTTACAATCATACTGACACGCGCACCTACTAAATATTCTTAGAACAATTAAGTCAATAATTGAATATTAACTGAAATTAATTAAAAACAGATGTAAAGGGGACGAATTCGTGCATAGCATTTTTCCTGTAGGTTTCCATGGACAGAATTTATTAGGAATGTATATGGCTCTCGTTGGAGCGCTGCCTCTTTATCATATATAGTTTAAGAAAATGATTTAAATAAAATGAATAATTATTTTTTGTTCTTTTATTCAATACTATGATTACAATCAATCAAAATACAGTATGTTTAATATTGTTATTCATTGATATTGCATGTAAATCTAATTGAGTTCTTTAGCTGTTTTTATTTTATACATCAAAAAGACATTTTAATTTTTAGAAATTCCACGATATTTGAGCTCACTACCCATTTGAACACCAGCACAAAATGCACAACAATTGGTCGCATAATAATCATTACAAGCATCACCCTAAAAAGTAAATAAACCATTCAATAGTATTATACCTACTTTATTGCTGAACTCGCTTTAATATGTAAAACGGATCGAACGTTCATGCGATACATAGCAAGAGCATATGGAACACATAAGCATGAGCATATTGATTCATCAATCGAACCAGCTAATGAATCAACAAAACAACACCAATATGCATAGCAACTTATAAAATACACACACATATATGTATACATATATCAATTACGAGTGATATGTTAGCAAAAAATATTGATATTACATTGGGACATATTATCACAACAATTGCATAAGCCTGAACGCCATTCGTTATTCATTGCTCTGAATTGATTGCCATATGGACCTGTCGGTTGGATGATTACAACACCACCTGTTTAAGGATAAATGTTGGCCATTGCTTGAATGGTTTTATTTGCTGTATTTCTAGATGAAAATAATGTTTGTGATGTAGCACCACTTTCGAATTTACAAAAAACTTCACAAATGAAAAACTCCCTTGTTTAATATAGAGCAACGACTCGACTTGTTTCAGCCGTTACTACAACAAATGGTTAGTCTATATCATCACATACATCATAAACAAAACATTAGATACAGAATTATTGGTCGCAAAGCGCTTATCAAAAGTTCTTAGCAACTCTCCTTTATTGCATACAACTATATAATAGTAAAACAACAGAATATAAATTTTACTTGTTGATAATGTAAAGATATATCTAAACGCTAATTTCTTGATTGACAATTGTTTTCATAGGATCTGTAGAATTCAATGTGTCATTTCATTTTGTATATCATAGAAATGAAAGACAAAAATAAAAATGAGACAAACCTATTACAACTTTCTCATGATGAAGTCAAATGTTAAAATAAAGTAGAATCATCGTTCTAAGAGCTAAAATCTTTGCGATAATTGTGAACATTCAATCTATTTCTTTTCATGTTTGACAATATATAGAAAACTTTCAATAGAACTACTGATTTTGTAGGCTATGTCCTAATAGTGAACATAAATTAAGCCAAATTAGCATTAAAGTATTCGCAATTTGAAATACAGAAATGTACATTGATCTCATTTTTAATAGGTTTTTTTAATTGCAAACACTTTTTAGTTATTAAGTAATCAACAGTTTTAATTGAAAATAATTTATTTTGACAAAATAAATATATATAAAAAAAAAACAAAATTTATTCTTCATCACTATAATCCTTGACAATGTTGATATAAGAATGAGAAATAGTTCTTTAAAACTTTTGATAAGCATCAAAATCTTTATTTTGAATATATATGTTTTTTTAGTAACATAATTTTGTTATCATCTTGAACATATTTGCCTTTTATTGACCTTGTTCTTGTTCATAATGATGTACAATAGATTCTTTTGATGATTTCGCTTTATTAATCCATGTCCGTAGGTCAAGATGTAATATAACCTTTTGTTCTCACCATTATATATTAATGTTATTAATAGAACAGAACTCGTAATCGCATAATTCAATAACTTATTAATCAAAGTATTCGTAATTTGGAAGCTACGACTTTTATAATGATGATTATTTTTCCGAAATTTAGATTCATTGAATATTTACATCATGATCTCTTTTGAAAAAAAAACCTGTTCTTGAAAGAATTATACAAGTTAATTTCAATAAATGAAATTGATATTTAAATAAAGTAGATATGTCTCGTCAATATTGAAACTAAATCAAAAACCTTCATTCAAAACTTGATTGACAAAAAACTATTTTGTTTTTGCTTGATCTCAATTAGCCATATCAATCAAATAAGCCTCACAAAACTTCAAGTATGAAAAACATTTTTTTACTTATTCTCATTGATATTATTATCTTAGAGTCTTCTTACTTTATTTGTGACAATTCTCAAAAAAAATAATAATAATAATAATAATATTCACTCTTTCTCTTATTACATTGCTGAGAACGAATCGTTTAAAATTCGATAGAAATTTGTATATTAATTCCTGAACTATTATTGACGAGTATGTTAGCCAAAGTAATCTTTATGAAAAAGATGAAGACTACAATTCCTTAACTCTGTTTTCTTTGTATGCTCTGTTTCAATTGTATCATTATTCATATTCAATGTGGATTCATTCCTTACATACTATTATTGAATTAATTGTTGCTACTCTATAAATCTCATAAGAAGTGAATCGAGATATGAATGTACAATTGACAACGTTGCACTTTGTGTTGATTCACGCTTTTATGTTTATCATACTCCTTAGTAAACTTTTGAATGAAACTTTGAATTTTTTTTTTTGCGCTTTGTCATTGGAAAACAACTTCTGTTTTCTATGTCAAAAATAATAGAACATATTTATCTTCAAAGGTTTGTATTATCTTTAAATATCTATGAATTTATAAAAGTTAGATTGCAAAAATTTTACTAGTTAGTCTCAGAAAAAAAATTTAACAGTTAACAGGTTAATAATATTAAAAATATGCAAAACTTGAGACAGTTCTCAAATATCGACACTTTTTTATTTTATGTTGTTTTTTTGACCTTGTTGTAGGTTTGCTATGAGATTGTCAGGACTCGGTGGAGAAGGACAGCAAATGGAAGACGTTTGCTTCAATTTACCGGATTTTGAGACAGAGAGACGAAACTCTTTTTTGGCAATTGGAGAGCAAAAAAAACTATAAAACATTAGAATTTCGCTAAAGAAAAACCAAAAATGTTCAAGATTGAGAGCAGTTATACCTACCCATTCATCTGCTTGGCAAATCTCTTCCTTCTTGGTACATATTTATTTGTCAAAAATGATGTTTGTCTTTGACGAAGAAAAGAAAATGTTAATCTATTTCTTTTATCCAGTATATAGTAATAATTTATTCTTATAATTTATTGGATGTTATATATATATATATGAATAATATGATATCATTTTTCTTATTTTTAGTTATTATAAATTTTTCTATGATACAAACAAACGATGATTACTATTTTATCATCATCGCATCATTTATCAATAGTGTTTTTTCCTTATGTTGTCTTTCTGCATTTTGACCCTGTTACAAATGAGAAATTTTCCATTTATCAATTCACGCCTATTTAATATATATGAAATCGACTTGTCCTTGTTTCTTAATTATTGAAGCTCAACATACGATAACAACGAAAAACAAACGAGAAAAAAAAAGACTTGACAGAACATAGATTACTTGTGTCATAATTGATTATTTCTTAAAATACATTGCCGATCATATCTCTATAGACTCAATAGATGCCGTATATATCCATTGTATATTAAATATATGTTTTTCTCCTATGCTTAAAAATAAATCTAATCATTATTTAAAAATCTAACATTTATATATAATTTATGATTAATTATATAAATTTTATATACAGATAAATATATGAATATTTTTTTTTTGTTGTCGTCGACGAACATTGGCCTGATACTCAATATGGCTACTTTTGCTGACGTACATTCAACCATCTACAATTACTTCAACCATATGAGAGAAGAGTAAGAAAGCAAAGAAAAAAAAAATATAGAACAAGAAGTAACAAGGTAGTAAAGAACGTGGGTGCGTGTTGAACAATAGCAATCGGATGAAAACAAACAAAGAAAAAGAAAAGTGCTGAGTGACCTTTTCAGATTATTGATTCATCTTCAAGCAGCGTTACCAATCTATATCAATCACAGCAACGGCTATAGAACTGACCTAGCTACGAACATCTATCGATTTGTTATTATTGAAAAGGGTGAAATATCACAACAGTCATAAACATCAAGTGACCGATTGATTTGTATGATAATTTCGTCGTTCTTTTTTTAATTGGTTGAATTCAGGTAACTAGAACTCTTGTTTTTTCTTTTCATAATCGACTTTTGCTCTTTGTCGATAACAATAGTGTAAACAGCATCGTCATTGTAATTGTATTTATAGCTTTTACATTAGTTGCCATCTAGCAACATCACTTTAATCGAATAATGTCGATGAGACACACCTCTTTATAAAGAGGTGTCATAGAATCTGTTAAACCAAGGAGGAAAAAAAACGATTTGTGATTTAGAATGATTTAATTTTGATTTTTCAGATGAGTTAAATCAGTTTTTTTCCTTAGTGTTAAACTCTGATATATATATATACATCTGTATAACTGAAAACATCAACCATGGCTCCTGAACAACTTTTAAATACGTAAGATTTTACTTTTATAATACGATATTGTATACTTCCTTTATCGATCATATGATAAATTTTCTTGTGTTTTTTTTTTAATTTCTAGTCTTGACGTTCAATCAAAAAATGAAATGAACCTAGAAGAAGAAGAATCGGATGATGAAGAATCATCAAAATCATCAACTACAAAACATGACAAATCACGAAAGTAAAACTACTTTTGTTTTTTCGATTCTTATATCTATAATATAATTTCTCTTTTCTTTCTTATATTCTTAGAATAACTCATAGTGAAATTGAACGTCGTCGTCGAGAAAAAATGAATCGTTATATAGATGAAATAGCACAATTACTTCCAATGGATGCAGTTAAAAAACTTGATAAATTAACTGTTTTACGTGTTGCTGTTGATACAATAAAACATTTAAAAGGTAAAAGAAAAGAAATATATTTCTTAAAATTAAAATTAAAGATTGATTTTTTACTTAGGTACCACTTCAAAAGTTTCATCAGGTGGTTTTGATAAACAAATATATTTAAATGATAATGAATTACTTGAATTAATCTTAGCAACAATTGATCAATTAGGTACATATTTTTTTCTTATAATTGAATGTCAACAAGGTCGAATTTGTTATGCATCATGTTCAACTGAAACAATACTTGGATATAAATCAGTTCGTAGGAAAATGAAAAATTTCGTTTTTATTTTGTTTTTGTTATTAAAGAATGAATTATGTTTAAAATCAATATTTGATGTTATCTGTCCAGATGATATTGAAATAGTTAAACAACAATTAATGTGTGAAAAAAAGACATCATTAAATACCTATGAAAATTCATCAACTGATTCGAAAAGTATATAAAAAATTGTTTTTTTCTTTCTTATTATTCAAAGGTAATATTTTTTATTTCAGATGCTCCTTTAGTAGCAACAAAACAAAATTGTTTAGAAGTAGGTAATCGACGTACATTTTCTTGTCGTATTAAATCGAAACCAAAACGATCAAATAAAACAACAACAACGACTCATCAAATAGGTTAGTATGTTTCATTCTTCTATTTTCTTTTTTTTTGTTTCGATTTTAATACTTTTTTTTTTTTTATAGATAATTATAGTACAATAGATTTTGTTGGTTATATAAAACAATATTCTTTAACTAATGATAATCAAACTGAAATAAAAACACGAACTGATCGTCGACATTCAAATATTAGTATATTAACACCATCCGATGTTGTAAATGCCATTGGAAATAATCCGGTTTCATGTCTAATAACAATGGGTAATTTATGTAAACGCATTGAAAAATCGAATCAAACTTATGAAAATACCAATACTATTGATAGAATGTTTTTATGCAAATTAAATCTTGATGGACAATTTACATATTTCGATCAAATGTAAGTTGTTCTAGTTTTTTTTATATTATTTATTCTCGAACGATAGAAGAGTAGTGAAGCAAATGTTTTTTTTTTTCTTCTTTCATGTAACAAGAAAATGAGTGAATAAATAGTAACTATTGAAATGTAAATTATTACACTTGAAACATAAGGATTTAGAAGAATGATGAATATTAACGGGTGATTGATCATCAATAGTTCATATTTGTATCTTTCTTTTTTACTCACTTAACACGTTTTATTTAAAAGAAAAACATAATATACAATATAAAGTACTCAACAAATTTCAATTGACAAAAAAATTTTGCGTGTTTTATTTTTATTTTTTTTGTGATACACAACGAATCATAGGTTTTTTTATTTTTATACCATTACATATTATTAATGATAGTATTCGACATGTAATAATCCAAAATATTGAGATCATGACGGTTTGATAACCATCTGTGATTGTTTATAAAATGCATAGAATTCTTTTTACCCCATGTCAATGATTCACAGTGTGTATATGGCATGACATTGTCTTATCCATTGAGGAAAGTATTACTCAGAAAATGTTTTATCTTTAGATTATATATGTAAGAGAATAGATTCAATATATAATTCTTATTATATGATTATGTTTTTACTAGGTTTGAAAATGATTGGATATATATATAGAAAATCATTTTCAGATATATATATATATCAAAACAACGTTATAATTTCTTTTTTAGATGCTTAGCCTTTTGGTTAATGTTCTCATGTCTATCTGTTTCCTGTCGACTTGTAGTATAAACATGTCCTAATGAAGAGTATTTTTTTTTTTTGTCAATGAGTACAATTATCTTCAATCGAATGAGATAAACCAGCGAATCGATCGTTTAATAAACAAATAATTACGTTTGCATAAAAAGATTCTTTTTTTTTTGTTGTCATTCTGGAAAATAAAGGATAAACATATATAAAAACAAAAAAATTATAATTAAGTAATAAAATGAAAAATTAGCCATTTATTATCGATGATCTGTTATGTTGGACAATACGTGAACTGAATCTGTACCCGCCTTTTAATGAGTCATATTGTAGCACGTCAACCGCACTCTGAGGACATGTACTTTGGCCCAAAATACGTCACATATATTTACGGTGGTTTTGTACAAAAGATAAAACTATATGAAAAAATTTTGGTACATTTTTTTTTCCATATGAACTTTATCATTATGTCTGCCGCCTGTCACAATTCAATAGTATGTTAATATATCTATAGACAGAAGGTGACTTTTTGTTTTTTTTTACTATGATGTTCAACATATATATAATAAATTCTAATTAAAAAGTGTTATATTAATCTTTTAATTGAAAGATAGATTATTGAAAAGTGTGGGTTTTTTTTTTATTATAATTAATTGATTCTATTTTATAATATTTTATGATCAAACAAATAATAAAAAACAAAACAAAAAAAAACTTTTTTTTGTTCTTTATTCTTTCTCTTATCAGTATTTGAAGAACAGAAAAGAAAAAAAAATGATTTTATTTAATATAGTTTGCCTGCATAAATTGCTGATGTTTTTTCTTTTTTTTTTTTTTTTTTAATAAAATCGTTATAAAACAATCTTGAAGAGCAAAAGTTAGAAAAATGAAATTTATAAATTATTTTACTATGGAGTTGTTTTGTTTTTTTTTGTGGTTTACTAAAACTAAGATTTTTAGATATTCGATATTTTTCTAAAAGAAACAAATAAAAAACAAGCAGTATCTAGGTCAATCACAAATAGAGGTGAGATAAGGGCAAAGTTTGTTCTTTTTATATAGAATCCTTTTGTTCGAATTCCGATATTACTTATTAACAGGTGAACTAAATAATTTCGAGTCAATTATGAAATATTAATAAATTCTATACTCAATAACCTTTTGATCTTAAATCATATCATACTCGTCTAGTTAGCTATTTATATCGAATAACATTAATTGTGCGTAAATAATCGTTATAAAGTTTAGTTAGTTTCTTTTGTCTATACATTGTTTAACATATAAAATATTACTGTATTATTGTATTTAAATTTCTATTTAGATCTTATTCTCTATTGGGGTATTTATCACAAGATCTTCTTGGTATGAATTTAAAAGATTTTGTACATGAAGATGATCGACATAAAATAAGTGACGTATGGAGTCGAGGTAAAGAAAAAAAAAACATATAAAAATAAAATTGTTTGTTTTTTATTGAATGATTTTTTTTTTGCTAATTAAGTCTGTCGTGACCGTCAGATGGTAACAAGTGGTGATTATCGTTTTCGTACGATAGATAATTCATATGTTATTCTACAAACAATATTTGAACCTTTTGTAAATCCATGGAATGATGAAATTGAAATAATTGTTGCACGAAATAAAACTAAGTAAAGAATTATTATTATTATTATGATTTATTCTACCTAATTATATTTTGAAGAAATTTTAGCATAAAATCTGCTCGAACGCATACGCCTATTGGTACTATTCAGAAAAAAATTGTTTTTTTTAGTATATCAGTCTACTCATATATGATTGAATATTTATTTATTTTTTTTTAGAAAATGACAATCCATGTACTGATGATGTTGATTCACCAGGGACATTAGATTCAAATGAATTTATTCGTCAATTATTCCCGTAAATAGAATGAAAATCAGAACATTTTCTATACATGCTGATTTTCATATGACCCATCCAGGTTGAAATTATCTTCTACAAACAAAAAATGGATGTCTACTGCTCCAAATCAGCAAGTTAAATGATTTTTCTTCTCCGATTGTGTTCAATTATATTGAACGGGTGCTTAACACAAAAGATGGTCTTTTTTTTTTATTAAATCCTGTATATTTGTAAAATGTATATAACTATCCAGTGATATACCGTTTCTTTTTGTGTCATTGTTAAAACATATTAAACACTTGATGTTTTTCGTCTATATAGAGTCAGAACAATTGATAACAGACAACACAAAAAAAAAAGAAAAAAAAAAAAAAAATTAAGAACAGTATTATGTTTATTACTACAGAGAAAAAAAACCAAAAGACTAATCTACATTTTTGGTTAATCTATTCTAGAAAATGATATGTTCAATCTATTATTATTATTATCATCATCTATTACTTCCGTCATTTATTTGGTAAATTCATTTTTTATTATCTGATGTATAAATCTTATGCATATGAATTATTGCTTACTTTTTGATAAATATTTGACTTATTATTATTGTCGACTATAATCTAATTTTTGTTTGAAACGAAGAACAAAACAACAACAACAACAACAACAACAACAAAAAATTTTTTTTCTATTGTTCTTCCATCTTTGACGACGTTTTTTTTTTTTCGTATTATATTTGTTTTGTCGTTTGACATCTGTTTTTTCTTCGACAACAAATTTATTTTGTTCGTATTTTGTCAATGACGAGTTTAAGTGAAAACGACTCAAAGAATGAGATTAACATTGATTCAAAGCAATGTCCTATTGAAAATGAACATTCATCATTAAATAATAATGATTCATTATTAATAACAACAGTTATACAAAAGTAAGAAGTTTTAATTGAATTTTTCTTTTTTTTTTTTAAAGTTTTTTCTTTCCTCACAATTATAGGTCATCAGATAATGATCAAAAACAAGAAGAACTCAATGAAAAGGGACAAAGGTAAATAATAAATATTTCAAATAAAAAGTCTTCGTGTTTAAGTGAAGACTTTTTTTTCTGTTATTTCATATACTATGAAATATTTTTTCCAAAATAGAAAGATTGATTTAGATATTGATATAAATATTTTTATTTTATTCTAGTAATGATTTAACGTCTGAAATTGAAGAGACTGATATAACTAATGAAATTAATAACAATGATGCTTTAGTAAATACTAGTCCGCCAATAGTAACTACCAATGAAGAACAAAAACAACAAGAAAAAGAGGCAACACAATCAACAGTTAATCATGATGAACATGAACATGGATCAAGAAAATTATTTAATTCAAAATTTAAATATTCATCTATGCCATATCATCGATCATCATATTATACAAATGGTCATCCATATGGGCCAGCGCCCTATTATTATTATTCAATACCACCATCATTATTTGAAAAACCAACACCATTAATGTTTATTCCAACATTACAACCATCATCATCATCATCATCATCATCACCATCATCATCACGAGATAATCAAAATGGTAATTCAACAACAATATCTCCTCAAAATTTACCACCACGTTTAAGACAAACATCAATAACTGAGAATGAATCAAATTTACAAGTATCATCAACAACATTACCATCGACATCATCATCATCATTAACAACAACAAATGGTCGTCGTCATCATCATTATCGTAGTATATTACCACGTGGTAGTAGTAATTATTATTCTTCACATCTACCGCCACCGTTAATGGCGACACCACCCGGTGTTCTTTATACTTATCCACCTACCGTCCATCAACCAGGTCATATTGCATATAATATTCGTCCAGTAGATGAATTTGAATATCTTGCTTTTCAACAACAAATGATGAATCTACCACCAACACCACTTCTTTGGCCACCACCACCACCACCATCAACACCTATAACATCACATGGTCATCCTTATTTTCCATCATATCCAATAAATGAACTACCATCACCATCAGCATATATGTTAAATAATACAACAATGACTCAATCAACAAATTCATTTTTAAATCCTGAAGCTGCTGAATGGATTCCATTACATAATGATAATGAATTATCATCAAGAGATAATAATAATAATATTTTAATTAATGATGAAATTAATTTTCCTCCATTAAATAGCACTACAATAAATAATAGTCAAACAATATCAAATGTTAATAATCATGTAGAAAATGATTCTGAACAAATAGATGCTTCATCTGAAATACCTTCAACTAATAATAATAATAATAATAATAATAGTGATAATACAAATGATATTTCACAAATACAAACAGATAATTCAAACATTCTCTCATCTCAATCAAATTCAAAAATTGAATCAACAAATACATCAACGTCATCATCTAGTCAAGATGATAATAATAATAAACCTTTATCATCATCTCCAATTAAAATAACGCCTATAACATATTCAACAATAATTTCTCAAACATCTGAAAATAATAAAACAAATAAAACTAATACAAATACTCAACAACAACAACGTCGTCAACCTCAACAACAATCAACAAATCATATTCATAATCAATTACCACCACGAGATCGAACAACTAAACAACAACAACAACAACGTACACAAAATAATATCTCATCAACATCATTTTCAAATACAAATTCTCATCGACGTCAATCATTTAATAATAATCGCAATAATAATCGAAATATTCTTTCATCTGAAACTAATTCTCTTCCAAAACAACAACAACAACAACAACCGCAAATAAATGATGATTGGATTGAAGTAAAATCTAAAAAAACAAAAAAATTTGATCGTGTTATAAATGATAATTCATCAGAAAAATTAATATTAGATGAACAAATACATAAATCTGTATCACCACCATTATCATTAACATCAACAGGTGAAAATACAACAACAACAACATTTACATCTGAAGATGATTTTGATGAAAAAGATCATATTAATAATGATCTTGTTATTATCATGGATAATCATGTAACAAATGATTATAATCAAATTATTGTTGATGATATTCATAGAAGACTTGATAATAATGAACGATTATTAATTATAATGAGAGGATGTCCTGGTAAATATGAATTTTAGTTAGAATTTTTTATTCTATTTGTTATTCCCTTTTTTTTCCTGTGATTTATAGTCTTACCCTTAGTATTCGAAAATTAGACAGTATTTTGTTTTTTATAGAAAACATTTGTCTATGTTTGATTATTTTCTCACTATTCATAGATTCTCGGCAAATGCTCTGACTTAAACTTTTTAGTACAATCATATTTTATGGTTCAAAAATAAAATAGTTTCTACTCTTCAATGTGATAAATAACATTGATTATACAAGAATTTTTGCGACATGAGAAATATTTGATAAAATAAAGATCGTGATAAATCTCCAATTATTATTTAACTTAATTTCTGGATTCTTTCTTTGAAGCAGAAATGTATAACCATGATAAGAAAAATACAAATCAGAGATCTATTCTTACTATATATTTCTAAAATCTAGAAATATGTGATATCAGTAGATTTTCGATTTCTACTTCTCTGTTATTGTGGTCCAAAGATATAGTATGAATAAATATATGATTTTCACTCTATCTATTGTAGGTTAGCAGTTAATTTTTGATTTCTAATTTCTCAATCGAATTGAATGATATCCAAGATTTTATCTTTTGCTATTTATGAATACATAAACTCGTAAGAAGTTTCAAAGTTTGTAAAAATTTTGACATACAAAAGTTAAAATTGATACGAATTTGAGATTTGCTACTTTATGATTAAATTAATTACAAATGAAATCTTTGGACAATATATTCTACTGTACTTGAAAAAAAAAGCAAAATAAATATATGATTTTTAGATTAGGACAAAGAAATAATTAGTTTTTTATTTTTCGTTTAATTTAGGTTCAGGAAAATCAACATTAGCTAAGTAAGTATTAATTTTTAAATTAAATAATAACAATTAAAAATTAAATTATCTTTTTTCCTAAAGATCACTTAATCATGGTTATAATGGTTTAATACTTTCAGCAGATGATTATTTTACAGATAATAATTTAAATAAATATACATTCGATTCAAATAAATTAGATGATGCACATCGATATACTTGTCGACGAGGTTTTTTATAAATATAAATATTTTATATTTTCAAAATAAATTGTTTTTGTTTTTTTTGTTCATTTAGCAACAGATGCATTAAAACGGAACATATCACCAATTATAATTGATAATACAAATACACAAACATGGGAAATGAAACCATATGTTGCAATGGTAAATGTTCATTTTGTTTTACGTATTGATCTATTTGCGTTTGTTTTTTTTTTTAGGGTAAAGAAGCTGGTTATGATATTCTTTTAGTCGAACCTCAAACTCCATGGCGTTATAAAGCTCGAGAATTATTCAAGTAATTTCTTTTTCTTGAATGTTAAATATAGTGATGGACAAAAGTTTAGAACAGTTGTATTTTTGAGTAGCTCAAAAGATTCTCTATCAGGATTAAATTAAATGTAGTTTGATGAAGAGAGCTAAAACATCTCATTTTGCTCTACTAGATCAAATCATCTCCAAAAAACCTTCAAATGAATGCTAGACAATTGATTTTCGAGATCTTAATTTTCTCAGAAATACAACTGCTCTCTAACCATTGTAGAATTAAATAGTTGAATTTGTTTTCTTTTTATTTAGACGAAATGTTCATAATTTACCAATACGACGTATAAAAGAAATGTTAAATCGTTTTGAACATAATATTACAGTTCAAAGTATAATTAATCAAATTCCATCTTTAACAATAACAAATAATTTAACATCAACTGAACAACAAAATGTTAATAAAAATAATGAAATAATTGATTCATTATTAATATCAAAAAAATTTTATAATATTATTGATGATTCATTAATTATTGATGATGTACGTCTTTGTATAAATGATATGATTTTATTTTTAACATCAAATTTTTATCAAACAACATTATTATCATCAACATCAATATTAACAACAACAACAACAACAGTAACAACAACATCACAACCTTCATCACCATTATCAGTTTCATTTCATGATTTATCATTAATATCAACATCATCATCATCAACAACAACAACAACATCATTACCACCAACACCTTCAACATCACATACACGTTTTCATCGTCCATTAACACGTTTTTCTTTTTCTTCAACAACAAATCAAGATCATTCATTTAATACTGAACATATTTTACGTATACCATCATCAACATTTTCACGTTGTATCGATACAACAAATTTAACACCACAATTATCAACACAATCAAATATTATTGGAAAAAAACGACGAAAAAATAAAAATAAACAACAATCAAATGAAATTTTATTAAATGTAAATAATAATAATAATAATAATATGGATAATGAAGAAGATAATCTACAACAACAACCAACTTTTCATGTTATTCTTCCTGAAGAATGTTCAGATTTTGTTGTTATTGATGAAAATAATGATAATGATTGGATTGATAATGTTAATAGAAATTTTGATATACAAATTAATTCTCTAAAGTAAACATAATTCTTAGTCTTTTTTTTTAAATTTATATAAAAAAAAAAAATCGATTGCGATTCTTTTTCTTTTCTTTCCTTCGAACAGTATTTTATCTAGTATAGAAACTGAGAAAGCGGTGCTTCTCTCTGAATATCCGATTGGCCTTCATGGAATTTGTATTGTATTGTGTATCTGTACTCACAAAAATAGATGTTCGCCTTTTAGCATTAAAAATCTGAATAAAAAAGCGAACTTTCAAATATTTGACCGACAAAAAAAAAACTTCGAAATTTTAAACAAAAAAACTAATCATTGATTTGCTTGTTTTTTTTTTGTCTTTTAGGAATCATTCATCAACATTATCTCATCAACAAAAACAATTAACTAATCCTAAAAATTATGAATTATTAAATATTATTCATAATGAATTAAATAAACCTTTACATAATTCATCTCTATTAACAAAACATATTGGTATACAATGTTCATCGAATGATTTTAATTCTCAAATAAATCATTCCGATCGAATATTAATTGGTCATTTATCATCTATTTCTACTCAATTTATAATAACATCATCATTATCACCACTACCTGGTTATAATGAATGTGGTATACAAGTTGATTTAATTGATAATAATATTGATTTATTAATTGATATTTATTCAAATCATTTATCAATTGAAACTATACAACAATTTTATGAAATTTGTCATTTTGATATTCAATGGACACGAACACAAATTGATGAATATCTTCAAAATAATAATATACAACAAACACATATTTTAACACTTCAACAATTATGTTTAAATGTATTAAATCAATGGAATGAACAAATTAAATCTATAAATCCATTAGTTGATATAAAATCAATTGATGATTTACTTCAAGATATAAATGATGATGAAATATTTGAAGAATTAACATTAAATAATACTAATATTGAATATATTGATATAAATCAAATAAATATTCCTTTAACAATGATAAATTCATTAGAAGAATTATATGGTGAATTACCAAATAAATCTATGATATTATCGAATAATAATAATATATTATTACCATTAGATAATAATTTATCAATAAATATTTATCAAGCATTACAAAGATTTTTAATCAAATCAAATCAAATAAAAAAACCGGTGATTGAAAATCAAATAAAAAAAAAGAAAAATTCTATTCAACAATGGAAATTATCATCAGATAATCAATTAAATTCTGATATAAATACAAATCATATACCATCACTTAAACAAATTATGAATGAAGAACAACAACAACAACAAGTAGTTAAATCTCAAAAATCAAAACAGGTATTCAAATTCATTTTTCTTTTTTGCTGTTTTCTTTCTTTTTATCAATTACTTCGTAAAAAAAAAAAACAAACAATTAAATTCAACTTAAGAAAAAGAAAAGAAAAGAAAGTTCAGTATACTATGTCAATTATTATAATAATTCATAAAGGTAATTAATATGACACTTTCGTGTATATATCTCATTAATCTTCAAACATTGGTTTTTTTTTATTCTATTTATGTGAGTTTGATTGAAGAGAAATGAATTTATTTTCTATACACTTCAATATTCTCACAATATTTCTTCTTTTGAATAAAAATTATCTTCAATGTAGATATAGATTTTGTAACTAGACAAAACAAAAAAAAAGATTAAGTTTAGTGCTTCGTAGTATTAAATTGAAAAGTATTTTGTATATTTAATTTAACATTTTTTTGGAAAATAATTTTTATTCTGATCTCATTCTAATATGAATGATCTTGTCGGGTATTGTATTAAATAGTGTGGGGAACACTTACTTCTTATATATCATGAATAAGAAATTCTATTGAATTCTTTTCTTTTTTATTTTCGACAAAAAAAAACGATAGAAATTTATTTTCTGATTTCATTAAATAACATAATTGTTATTTTTGCTTTTGAACTGTTTTTAGAAATGTCAACTTGATTATGCTACTGAATTTAAATTAAAAGAACTCGAACGTCATTTTCCTACATTAGATTCTGATCTACTCTATGATATATTTCATGAAAATGAATATAATTATGAAATTACACTTGTTTGTATATCAAAAATGTTTGATGAAAATACTTCAATAACAAATCTACATAAATCTTCGTCGATAATATCGACAAATTCTATATCAACAAGTAAAAAACCAATTGAACCTGTTCTTGAATCTTATGAAAATTTACGACGAAATGTTTTTCATCATGCACAACAACGTAAAGAATTTTATATAAAAGCTCAACAAGCAAATCATCATGGAATGTCTTGTGTTGCATCATTTTATATTCATCGTGCTAGTGAAGAAACTCAATTAATGAAAAATGCTAATCGAATTGCATATGAACGTTTATTATGTTGGAAACTTGAACAATATCATCAAACAAAACGAATTGATCTTCATGGTTTGCATTTAACTGAAGCATTAAATTTATTTAAACAAATTGAACAAGAATTTAATGAAGAAAATCAACGAACAACTCCAAAATCTATTGAAATTATAACAGATTATGGAAAAAATTCTATTTATGGTGGTGGTCATGGAAAAATACATTCAGCTATTCTTGCTTATTTACAACAACAAAATTATAAGTAAATAAAAACAAACTTTTGACTCAGTGAGGATCATTCTAAAAAGTTTTTGCTTTACATCTTCTTGATGACTCATAGTGAAATCCAGTAGACTTAAAATTTCAACCTCTATCGATTGATATAAATCCTAAGTAAAACGGTGTTCAGAATGGATTAGAGTGTATTTTATTAATACTCTTAAAAAAGCGATTTTTCGATATATATATTTTGTTTTTTATGTAAAATATTTATTTAGATACTCAGAGCCAAACAAAGGTGTAATTCTATTGCAATTAACAAATGTACGAAATTGACGAACATAAAATCTATTGTTCTAAAATCTATGCATTGTTATTGATTTTGTTTGTTTGTGTGTGGTGTGTACGCAATGTAGGTAGCACGCGGTGATCTTATACTATTTCACACTAGATATAGATTTGTTTCTTTTTTTTTTTCTTCTGTCTAGCGCCAGTCTTTCACTAGTTTGTTTCTTTTTTTTTTTTTTCTTCTGTTTTCACTATTAAACAATACACTCAAGATTGTAGTTCTTACTCTTTTCCAGTTGTGTGTTTATGTAGCAATAAAAAAAAAAATCAATAACGAATCTGATTTTTTTTTTTTTGTTGCGTTTCTTTTTCTTGTTGATGTTAAATCTCATATAATCTATCTCTTCGTTCTTTTTTGTTCACCGTATGAATTTTCATTATTATTTATATTACACCGATCCGGTTGTTTTCTGTTGGTTTTTTTACTTGCTCTATCTTCATTGTTCATAGCTCAGGATACTCGGTTTTTTTCAGCAACCTCAGGAAGAAGCGTACGTATATTACATTAATTCAAATTATAGAAAATTCTACATGTCATAATGCTTCTTTTGGTGCTAATCGGTGGACAATCGTATCTCTTTTCGGTTCGTAAATGATGACTAAATTTAAAAAAAAAAAAAAAACAAAACTCAAGACGAATTTTTCTTTTCTACTTGCTTATTTTCGATTAAGCAAGAACTTTTTTTTTGCTTTTTCGTGTGTGTGTGTGTGTGCGTGTGATATTTAAGCACCCCGTCCGTGTTTAGAGTCATAATACATGTGTGTGGTTTTTTTTTTTTCTTCAGTTTTAAAAGGGATAAACAACAGTCGCTTGCGTCTATGCAGCAGTATTTTGTGCAACCCTGTTCATCGTATTATATTATTGGTAAGATTCAACCTTGCGTATGTGTCTTGGTTCAGTTATTTTTTTAGCGACAAAAAACTAGAATCCTTCTTTTTTTTTTCTTTGTTGTTTGGTTTTTTTTGTGCACGTGTTACTTCGGCGTTTGTATGATTCGCTGTTTTGTTCTTTCTCTTTTTTCTTTTTTTGTGCCGTATGTGCTCGAGTTTATACGTGTGTGTTCAGGTTTTTTTTTTGTGTGTAGACCAAGAGAAAAAAACAACCAAAAAAATTAAATAAAGAAAGTCTTAGGCAAATAAGAATTGTTTTTTGTTGTTCATGGCAACTATAGATAAATTTTTTTTTTCATATTTCCTATTTACGAAAAACAAAAATATGATAGTAAACACTTTGCAGATATATTATTTCATAATTTAATATAAAAAACAAAACAAGAATCATGAATATTGCAATGAATCGAATTATGAAAGAATTCAAAGAAGTCGTAACAAATGAATCTGTAAGAAATTCTAATAAAATAATATTTATTTATTTTATTTTATTTTATTTTATTTTAGAATGGAATTGATTTAAAAATGCCAGAAGGTGAATTAACAAGAAATGTATCTAATTTAGGATCACAATCAAATAAAAAAGAAATTTTTTTAACTGGATCTATTCAAGGACCACCAGATACACCTTATGCTGGTGCTCGATTTCATGTTGATATTATTGTTGTTGGTAAGTGAATATACAAAAATAGAATATATATTTATTGTGAAACACGATCTAAAAGGAGTGTTGAGGTATAAGGGCAATAATTTGAACCGACTCCCTTCATACAATGGACAACGACGAGGATATTTAGTGAAAAAAATGAAAGTGATATTTTTTGCGATTTGAATAATGTCTAATATACTTTGGTCAATGGCCGATATTTTGATTTAAAAAAAAATTATTCTAGCTCTTTATGTGTTTTGGAAATCCTAGGCCCAAAAAATGGCCAAGTTTCTCTTTTCAAAGAAAGCAAAAAGACCTACGGAATAAATCGTAGAATTCTTGCTCTATCGTTCTGTATAAAAAAAACTTTGTTCTAACATTTTTCCTGTTGGAAAAAAGTATCCGCACTTTAGCAGATTTCCAAACCCGATGAGACTTTCATAGAAGGTCTTTCTCTGCTTGACACGTACATTCAGTTAGCATAAAAATACATAAATCTTTTTGGATTGACATACAGGTTTTCTAAAAAAAACCTGGATTCTTAAAGATTTTTCGTGTTCTTTTGTCTCAAGAGTGCTTTAAGAGAAAAATAATGACATATTTGGAATCAGTACAGAAAACTGCATCGAATGATCTGACAGTTCTTTATTTTATAAAATAAAAATTTTTTCAACAAAAGTTTACGGTATGGGAGTCCTGTCATGCATTTTATATCGAAAATGTTCTATTAGAAATTTCATTTTTTCCCATTACTTTCTCTGTTGAATATTGGAAATTAACATTATACGTTTTTGATAGGAAATAAATCATGTTCACGTGTTCTATAGAAATTGTACATAGTGTCTCCACCTCTTCCAGAGACTATGATGACATACTCCTTTCTCTCTCGCGTCATAGACCGTACATCCATAACATCTCTTAATTAAATATGAACTACTTCCTTTATGCATTTCTGCAGAATTAGATAAAAGAATCCTGAAGAAATGTGCCCTTAAATAGATAGGATGAAATAATCTTCCTATAATTAGCAACAGCAGTTACATCGTGTTTCACATTTTAATCCCGTAGGGATTGTACTAATAGCTTTTTATTTATAGATACATATCCATTTAATCCACCTAAAGTTCGATTTACAACAAAAATTTGGCATCCAAATGTTAGTTCAGTTACTGGTGCAATTTGTCTTGATATTCTTAAAGATCAGTGGTAAGAATTTATTAAATTTTCATTAAAAGATATCATTATTGCTTGTTATTAACTTTATACAGACTTCGTAGCGATATTACCTTTCTTGATTTTCCTGTTTGCGACTGAAAATCTTAATTTTATTCTAATATTTCGCGATCTGTCATCATAGAATTATGTCTACACGATTATGACATGTATATGTGATCTATTTTCAAGATTTTTATAGAATAGTTGTAGAATATTTTCCATTAAGAAAGAAAGATATAATGTTCATATTAAATTTCTATTAACTATTTATTTATTTTTTTTTTATGTTATCTCATAATCAGGTTTTTAATAGTTTTCAATTCATTCAGGTTTCAAATCAGATACTTAGCGTTTCATCATTTTTAATCGTTGTGAGATTTAGTATGAATTTATTTGCATTGTTGAATGAATGTTGTTTCTCTACTAAATATAACTTTAGCAAACTATTGAGTACAAATTTCAAAATTTGTTTTTATTTTTCTATATACTTTGTTAAGTTTTAAGCTCTATTCTAATACAATTCTTAATTTATGGTTTAAAACATATTGTCATTAATAAAGCCAATGGCTATGAACAAACTGTAATCATGAAGAACTTCTTGAAAAGATTTACACTTATGTAATATGCAAAGTCGTATTTTTTCCACTGTTGAGTATATGACAAAATTTAGAAATTGTACTCGATAGTTTACTAAAATTATGTTTAAGTTTTCGAAATCAAAAAAATCCATTTCAATAGAATTTCACATTAATTTTAAAAAATTTGACTCGAAGTCATGCAAATGCTGGTAGATATTAACGAGAAGAATGAGCGGAGTGAGAGGAATTTTGCTCAGGATGTATAATTTTTAAGAAGTGGCATTGAGGAATAAGTGAGGCGTGACTAACTGTTAGAGAAACATGTGTCCTGAATTTATCATTATACATTTATATGGACATTTTGTCTTGTACAAAAATAATAAAATAAGTTTTACAATATCCTGATTTTTTTTTCTATGAGATTGTTCTATTTGTTTTCCTGATTTTAAGACATAGGCCATCGCGACCTCTAAACTTATACGCAGTTTAAATACTTATTTATTATAATAGGGCAGCTGCAATGACTATACGAACAGTGTTGCTCAGTTTACAAGCATTACTTGCAACACCAGAACCAGATGATCCGCAAGATGCAGGTAATACTAATATTCCGACAATTATTTTTTTTTCATATTTTATTATTTTAGTTGTTGCTAATCAATACAAAAAGGATCGAAAATTATTTGAGAAAACAGCTCGACATTGGGCAAATGTATACGCAAATGGTAAATGAAAATTTTAAAATAATCAGTTAGAAATATGTCTTATTATATTCTCTAGGACCAAATCCTGAACCAGAATGTGATGCAGCTGTAGCAAGTCTTGTTGAAATGGGTTTTTCTGAAGTAAAATTTTTTCTTTTAATAATATGTTACATAACTTATTTGTTCTTTTTTTTTTTTTTTTTTTTCTTCAAGGAAAAAGCTCGTTCAGCATTATCAACAATGCATTGGAATACAAGTGATGCTTTAGAAAGTTTATGCAAGGGTTAAATCATATTAGTCACATTATAATAATCATTCATTTTCTTTTATTGTCATTTCTTGTTTCTATGTCTATCTATCTGTCCTTGTTTGTTTTGTTTTTTTTTCGTTTTATTTTATTTTATTTTTTGTCTATATTGACAGTCTAAAATATCTATGTTTAACATATATAAATCTAGGAAATATGTTCTTGTGATCATCGAAAGATTTTTGTTGTGATTTCAAAAACAAAACAAAAAAAAAACACGAATTTTGTCAACAAATATTTGACTGTCTTCATCATGCTTTTTTTTTGTCTCTATGTTTATTGTATGTTTTAACTAAATCGAAGTAAAGATGCTTAGAAAAAGAAAACGTTAATAAAAAAAAAAAAAAGATATTTTGTTTCTTATTCTAAATCTTATCTGTTTGACAAAATGAATGAATATATATATATATATATGTTTGAAAAAAAAAAATACTAATTATTCAAGCATCATTCTCTAGCTTGTGTTGTATTTTAGAAAAATGATTCGCTTGTGTACAACTCCATTTTGGGTGTGTTTTTAATCAATTTTATTTATATTTTCTTGTTAAATGATATTTTCTTTTATACAGAATAATTCTATAACAAAAGCACCATATCCTTATTTAACTGAATGCTTTCGTGATACAGCTTTACAATGGTTTCCAATCGGAATTTTTTGGTTAATTTTACCATTATGGATGTGGATGTTACATAAAAGAAAAATTCAACCAAAACCATTGCCTATTTCAAGTTTATTCATTATTAAAATGGTAAAGATATGCGCATATTTATTTGTATTTGTTGTGAAATTTGAAAAAAAAGAAAGTAATAAGAGTAGAAACATCTAATTGAACTTATTAATTTATAATTTTTGAGATCATTGCAACAGAATTCATAATACTTCTACATAGTTTATGAAGGTAATGTCTAATTCGTTTACCTATCATTTTGTAGATATGATAGAAGAAATCATTGTGTTCTACAATTCTGTGAAAATATTGAAGAAATTATTGTAATTTTCAAGTGTTGCTTTTTTGATAATTTATTAAGACATTACTCGATTATTTATGAGTAGAAAAAGAAAATAATAATATGAAATATCTGTATCTAATATTATTTATTCTATGTTCTTATTTCGTTTTCTGTATGCAATAAATATTAAAAAAGACAGTAGAGAACGTAGAGTCGAAGTTTTTTTTGCAAAATCTAATAACCATTATGACTTGTTGTTGAAGACAAATGACAAATAAAAAAAAAAAGAAGTTAATAATTGCTTTAAATTTCATCATAGGTTTTTACTATTCTATTTCTTCTTGTTCAAATTGTTCGTATTATTTATTATACATTACAATTAGATACAGAAAAAAGTCAAGCTAATATGATAAGTCCTATTTTATATACAATAACATTATTAGTTATTCTTTGGTTAATGAATTATGAACGTCTTAAAGGTATGTTTTGTTCGGGTTTACTTTTTGGCTTTTGGTTATTAGTTTTTTTGACAATAATACCGGATGTTATCGATTACTCAATTGAATATCAACAACGAGTAAATTATTTTTATTTATTATAAATTTTTTTGTTTTGTTTAAACAATTCAATGAATATTATATAGAATAAATCAAGACGTATCTTAAACGAAGTTATTCGTGTTTGGCTTCATATTATTCTTGCATTTGGCTCATTTATTTTACATTGTTTAGCAGAAAAATATCATTTTTCTAAATTAGCTGCCGATGAAAGGGTACAATATCTAATTGATTGAACAAAATTTAATCTATGTTTTTTCTTTTAAAAATTTATTCTTTTCTATTTCTAGCCAATTGTACCTGAATTATATAAAAGTTTTCCATCTCGTTTAACTTTCGGGTGGGTAACACCACTTATTATTCGTGGTTATAAACAATCATTAACTGAAGAAGATTGTTGGGAATTGGAAATATCAGAACGAGCTGTTAATGTTGTTCATCGTGTACAAGCTTGTTTCGAAGGGTTGATATATTGAAATATTTTGTTTAAGTTCTTTTTTATTTTTATTATGATAAATTTTCTAGAAAAATCAATCAAGCAAAAGCCATAGCTTATGAACAGAGTAAAATTTGGAATAAAAATTATACTTCTAATAGCAACAAAATTCAAGATGAAGATCAAGATTTAGTAAGTTTTTGTATTATGTATTAATTATTTGAGCTTGAATAGAATTTTTTGTTTTCTTATTGCAAAATTTTTCTATAAATATTTATTTTTTCTATTTAGTTAAACAAATTGGTAAGTGTGATTGACAAGCAATGTTCATCGATTCTCGATTCACTGAACCCTAAACTGAGGGAAGGCAGATATATACACCACTGCATCCTGATTCTAAATGTACTCTTCCCAAAGTACTAAATAAACTGGCCAGAGAACTTCACATGAAAGAGCAACCACTCCAAAAAGTCAGTTTTTTGTAATTAAAAACTTGAATTTTATGTTTTTGACGAGAAACCGACCTTTATTATTCTAGTTCTTTTCTCATATTATTCTGAGCATTCTGTTCTTTATGTCCAATGATGATTTCGTATGTTGAATGCATAATTTTTTCTCGTGCACTGATGCATCTCGAATTACCAGAGCTCTATTTATCGTAGGCAGCTAGAAACAACTTTTATTACTGTCGTAGTCACTTGTTCCATGGCTATGATACTTCTTACCATCACTATAGTCCTTTGTGCCACAGTCGCCATCACCTATATCACGGCTGTGGTACTTCGTACGATTGTCATGGTCACTTGTACCATGGCTGTAGTACTTCGTACCATCACTACAGTCCTTTGTACCACTGTCGTGGTTACTTGTACCATGGCTTTGATATTTCGTACCATCACTATGATTCTTTGTACTATTGTTGTGATCACTTGTACTATAGCTATGGTACTTCGTATCATCACTATGATCCTTTGTATCACTCTCGTGGTCACTTGTACCACGAAAATGGTCTCTTGTACTATCAAGATGGTCACTTGTACCATGAAAATGGTTATTTGTACCAGGTGTTACAGACAGACAGACCGACAGACAGACACAGGTGAATTTCGGTTTCTAGACCCTATCCTTTCAGTCTTGAGATATATTTTTATTTTTAATTGTTCTTATTTCTTTTGTATTTCAAAGCCATCGATTGAAATAAAAGGGACACCAGCAAAAACTCGAAAACCAACTATTTTTTGGCGTGCTCTCTTTGCAGCATATAAAGGCAAACTTATTGCTGGTGGTTTGTTAAAACTTGTTCATGATCTTTTACAATTTAGTGGACCGATGATTCTCAAGTACAATAAAAATTTCTTTGTTTTTTTTCTTTCGTTTGAAACAAAATATTGATCTTTTTATTTAGAGAAGTTCTTACTTTTTTTAATGATCCAACAGCACCAACATGGCTCGGGATATTTTATGCTGTTCTACTTGGTGCAACTGTTCTTTGTCAAACATTATTTTTACAAGCTTATTTTCATCGACAATATATTGTTGGTCTTCGATTTCGTTCAGCTATAACTGGACTTATATATCGAAAAGTAAATTTTGTTTTTTTTTTGTCTATTCATATTCATATTATTTTTTATTTATTATAATAGAGTTTAAAATTATCCAATTCAGCAAAACAAGGAACAACAACAGGAGAAATTGTTAATTTAGTAAATAAATTCTTTTTGTTTTCTTGTTTTGAATTATGTTGTTATATTTTTTTTTTATATTTAAATATAGATGTCAATTGATGCATCACGTTTTGGTGATATAACTTCATATATTCATGTTTTATGGTCTGGTAAGTATCATAATTAATACTACTATCCCATACTATGGTTCTTTTGATTTCAATCTGAATTTAGAAGAAAAAGACGATACTCGATTTCAAACTGAAATGCGGGACATGCAGATCTTTAGAATTTTGCTGATAACATGCATGATATATACCCCCTATTTTTATAGAATGCAGGTCTTTAAAATTATAATGGCGATATGTATACTACATATTCCCCTATTTCTATGGGTTGTAGGTGTGGCTGTCGGGATGCTGGTGGATGTGGGTGTGAGTCAAAAGAAGGCTCTCACCCACACCCTATCAAAATAGGAGTATATACTATATACATCTAAAGAACCATACTCTATAAAAACAAAATGGGTTATATACTATGTACATCACGATTATAATTCTAAAGACTCACAAGACCCGCAGCTTATTTGGAAAAGGATGCTGTTTGGTTTTTCAAAATTCAGTTTGAAATCAAAAAGATTATATACTCTACTGTTCGAGACTGTATTTTATATGTAAATCTAACTGTTTTATAATATAGGACCATTTCAAATTTGTCTTGCACTTGTATTACTTTATCGACAAATGCAATTAGCAATTATACCTGGTGTTCTTTTATTAATTCTTGTAATTCCATTTAATTTATTTTTACAACGAATTATAAAGAAATTAGCAGTATGTAGATAGTTTAAAAGAAAAACAACTTTTTCTTTTTTTTTTCATAATTCAAAATTAAATTTAGACAAAACAAATGGTATTAAAAGATCATCGAATAAAAATGATGAATGAAGTTCTTAATGGAATAAAAGTTTTAAAATTATATGCATGGGAATTAGCATTTATTCGACGATTAAATGATATACGAGAAAAAGAACTTAGTTGTATACGTCGAAAAGCTGTTCTAAATGCAATGTCAAGTGCAGTATGGGCATTTGCACCAATTCTTGTACATAAATTTTTTTTTATTAACTAATAAATAAATTCATCGAATTTTTCTTTTTTGTTTTTTTTTTTAAGGTATGCATTGCAACATTTGCTACATATGTATTATCATCAGAGAATAATATTTTAACAGCTGAAAAAGCTTTTGTTTCATTAGCATTATTTAATTTACTTCGATTTCCACTTGTGGTATTTCCGACTGTTGTTAATAGTATTATTGAAGTAAATTGAGAATATTTTTTAAGACATATTTTATTATGAATTGTTTACTTTTTTTTTCTTTGATAGGCTAGGGTATCAAATAAACGTATACAAAAATTTTTAAACAATGAAGAAATTGATGAATATGCTGTCAATAGAACATCTATCGATTCTGATGGCAATATAATAAAAATTGAGAATGGTTCATTTCGATGGTCAAATTCAATTGATGATACAATTATATTAAAAAAGTATAGAAGAAAAAAAAAACGAATAATTAAATAAATATGAATTAGAAAATAATAAATTATTTCTTTTCATTTAGTATTAATCTTAAAATTCGTCAAGGTTCACTTGTTGCTCTTATTGGATCAGTTGGTTCAGGTAAAACAAGTATATTATCAGTTTTACTTGGTGAAATGAATAAAATTACTGGACAAGTTGATGTTAATGGAACAATAGCTTATGTACCACAAACAGCATGGATTTTAAATGCAACACTTAAACAGAATATTTTATTTGGAAAAGTTTTTAATCAAAAATTATATAATCAAGTTATTGAAGCATGTGCATTAAAACCTGATTTTGGTATACTAAAATATATTTATGTTTTCTTATTTTTTGATAAATATCTTTCATTTTAGATATATTACCACAAAGAGATGAAACAGAAATTGGAGAAAAGGTAAATATGATCAAATTTTGATAATATATATATATATATGTAAGAATGAATTCAAATTAGGGTATTAATCTATCCGGTGGACAAAGACAACGAGTTTCTTTAGCTCGAGCTTTATATAGTGAAGCAGATATTTATCTACTTGATGATCCTTTATCAGCTGTTGATGCACATGTTGGTGCTCATATATTTAGAACGGCTATTGGACCAAATAGTTTACTAAAAACAAAAGTAAAATAATTATATTTCATTAATTATTTGAAAAAAAAAAGAAACAACGTATTCATTTTAATTTGATTATTTAGACTCGTCTTTTAGTAACACATGGTGTAGCACATTTACATAAATGTAATGAAATAGTTGTTGTTTCACGTGGTGAAATTGTTGATCATGGACCATATGATGAATTAATGAGTAAAAGTAAAATTTTACGTGATCTTGTATATGCAATTGTTACGGAAGGAAATGAACGAAGAGCAAGTGATGCAGGTATACAATATATCATATTTTATATTATATATGTATGCAGGAGCGTAGCCAGGAATTTTCTGAAGGAGAGGCTGAACATGATCAAAAAAACTTTTTCGCTGAATGGAAATAATGTGCCCATACCCTCCTTCGAGAAATTTTTCTTCTGAGGGAGGGGAGGTTAAAGCTTCCTCAGTCACCCCCTTTCCTACGTCCCTGTGTGTATGAAAGAGAGTTTTAATGAGTTAGACCGGGTCGAAGAAAGCAGGCTCATAGGTTATCGACCTTTCACTCGAATCAACTCATGGATTTTTTTAAAAAATATTCCATTTATTTAATTGCATTGGATATATTTTTAACATATGGAATGAATAAGTACACTTCTTTTTGAGAAATTATTAATTAAAATCAATAATGAAGATAAGGAAATCATGCACTGAAAAACAAAGATTCATAGATCTTTTTTTTTTCAAGAGATATTCTTATTTTTCACTTGTAATTACCTAGATTGAATTTCATTGTAATTAATAGATATCGAATATTAAATATGATCGACTAATGATTTTCCTTAATAAATAAAATTTCTTGTGTATTCTATTAATAGCAAGAAAAAACAGCTATAAGTTAGATACGAACATCAAACTTATATAGAATACTTTTTTTTCATTCTGCATGTAATTTCACCATGTCGATCTATATCATCTAATATCGCAGTTCATCGATATGTGATGATCGGTTAAGCCAGAGTCGTAGTTAGACATCGGCTGGACCGATCGATAGACACACACGTGCATCGATTCTCTCTCTCTTCGATGTGATAATCTAATCGATTGAATATTGCCCTTTGTGTTAATATCATGGATTAGTATGATTTAACATACTATGATAAAACCTCTGAGGCATAAAATAAATCGACTATGGAATCACACGGACTAACAATGTTAGTCAATCCTTCCCCCCTTTTTTTTTCTTAATTTAGATGCTAGAACTCCACCAACATCTCCAATTGAGATCAGTGAAAATATCTTCAAAACAATTGGAGATAAAGCTCAAAATGAAACAATAAAATCAGCAACAATTGAAATACCTTCAAATGAATTAAAAGAAAAAAAAGATAAACTTATTCAAAAAGAAACTGTTGAAACTGGTTCAGTAAGTTTTATTTCATTTTTATTTTCTTCTACAATTTATTAAATATAAAAATTTAGGTTAAATTAAATGTATTTCTTACGTATATTCATGCATGTACAATGCCAATGGTTTTATTAATATTTATTTTATTTTCATTAACAACACTTACATCATTAAGTACAAATATATGGTTATCAAGATGGACAGATCGATCTAAAAATGAAACAATATCAACTAATGATACATCATCATCATCATCAATGAGTAAAATCCATGGTTTAACAATTTATTCAATATTAGGTTTTTGTCAAGGTAATAAATCAAAAAGCAAAATTGTTTTTGTTTTCTTTTTTTCCTCATAAAAAAAAACCATTCCTTTAGAATATTATTAATTAAAAAAAAAAAAAGAAAAAAGTTTTATAGTTCTATTTGAGTTCACAGGCACTTATATGATGTTTAAAACAAGTTTAAATGCATCACGTAAATTATTTAATAGATTTCTTCTTAATTTATTTCAATTATCATTATCATTTTTTGAACAAACACCTATTGGTCGAATAATAAATCGTTTTACAAATGATTTTGATATCATTGATGACGTTATAATGTTTACATTACGTTCAACGCTTAATGCCATACTTGGTTTTATAATTTGTTTTATTCTTATTGCTAATTTTCTGCCTGAAACAATACCAATTATGATTATAATATTTATTCCATTTATTTTTCTTGAGGTTAACAAAAAAAAAAAAAAGATAGAAAGAATATTTGATTCTGTTTTTTCTTTGCTATTAGCTATACATGCTTGTAGAGAAATAAAAAATTTGATTTTAGTGTGATTCTCTTTTTTTCTAGGATTTGTGGCTTTTTCTTTACAATTTTTCGTTTATTTTGCTGCTTATGCTGCTAGTAGAAAATTACATTCTTCTATATTATTTGGTGTATTACGTGCACCAATGGCTTTTTTTGATACAACACCAATCGGTAGAATAATCAATCGCTTTGCTAAAGATATTGATGCAATTGATTCATCTTTACCTACTTCATTTTCCTCATCATTTACTACATTAGCACATGTATTAATAACGATTATTATACTTATATATGGATCATGGCTTGCCATTTGTGCATTAATACCGCTTGCTATAGTTTTTTCTTTTATTCAGGTATTCATTTACTGAAGAATTTTTTTGTAATGATAATTATTAAGATTTTTTTTTTGTTTATTTTAGCGTGTTTATGTAGCATCTTCAAGACAACTTCGACGTCTTGATTCAAGTACACGTAGTCCTGTTTATTCAAATTTTGGAGAAACAATTCAAGGACTTAGTTCAATTAGAGCTTACAATGTACAACAACGTTTTATTGATATATCAGATCGATTACTTGATAGAAATCAATCATGTTATTTAGCTAGTTGTATTACTAATAGGTTAGTTATAAATTTAATTCATTTTTCAGAGAATTTTTTTGTAATTAAAATAAATAATAGTATTTAAGACATTGTGTCTTATTGTAAAATATATTTCTTTTTTTTTCTATTAATTCATAGATGGCTTGCAGTACGTTTAGAAGCAATTGCCAATGCATTAACATTATGTACAGCTTTATTTGCTGTTCTTATGCGTTATCGTCTTACAGCAGGTATTGTTGGTTTAACAATAACTTATGCAATGCAAATAACTCAAACACTTAATTGGCTTGTTCGTATGGCAAGTGATATTGAAACAAATATTGTTAGTGTTGAACGTGTTAATGAATATGCTGAATTAAAACCAGAAGCTCCATGGGATATACCAGAAAAGAAACCACCAATTGATTGGCCAACTACTGGAGAAATTCAGTATGCAATGATTTCTACTTTTTTTTTAAATTTTAAATTATTATTTTTTTTTTATTTCAGAATTAATAAATTATCAACAAAATATCGTGAAAATTTAGAATTAGTTCTTCAAGATATAACAGTTAATATTCAACCAGGAGAAAAAGTAAATAAAAAAAAAAAACAAATGAAAATATTTCAATAAATTTATTATTATATTTTTATATTTAGATTGGTATTATTGGACGTACAGGTAGTGGAAAAAGTAGTTTTTGTATTACATTATTTCGTATAATTGAACCAACAAATGGTGAAATAATTGTTGATAATATTGATATTCGTCATATTGGTTTACATGATCTTCGATCAAAAATAACTATTATTCCACAAGTAATTTCAATACATTTATTTAAAATAAAAATAAAAACATTTTCTTTTTTTTTTAATATTAAGGATGCAGTTATTTTTGCTGGAACAGTACGATTTAATGTTGATCCATTTGGTAATTATAGTGATGCAGAAATTTGGACAGCATTAGAATTAGTACATTTAAAAGAACGTCTTAGATCAATGGAAAATGGTCTTTCACATTTATTAACTGAAGGTGGAGAAAATTTAAGGTAAATTTTTAAATAAAATCTATAGGAGAGAGAGAGAGAGAGAAAAAAAAATACTTTTTGAATATTTAGTGCTGGTGAAAGACAATTATTATGTATGGCAAGAGCTTTAGTACGAAAGAGTAAAATTTTTGTACTTGATGAAGCAACAGCTGGTAATTAAATCTTTGTATATAATTATCATATGATCGTTTTCTTTTTGTTTGTTTGTTTCAGCTATTGATATGGAAACTGATCGATTAATACAAATGACAATTCGATCAGCTTTTAAAAATGCAACAGTAATAACTATTGCACATCGACTTCATACAATTTTAGATAGTACAAAGTATATTTTTGATGTTTTACTTCGATAGAAATAATTTTTCTTTTGTTTCATCATATATAGAATTCTTGTTTTATCTAATGGTCGTTTACAAGAATATGATGAACCAAAACGTTTAGCAGCAAATCCAGAATCTGCTTTTGCTAAATTATTACGTGATGCACGTATCAATTTATTTACTGTGAATCCAAACTTAGAAAAAAACTGAAATTTAGTCACAAATCAAACAAAAAAGAAATATATAGAGATTTATTTGAACGACTTTCTTTTCCTGTTAAATGTAGCTTGTAGAATAATTTCTTTTTTTTTTTTGTGTTTCTATACTCTTCTTATCAGTTTAATTTGTGCGAAAATTTTCGTGTGATACATATAGTTACATGTATTTTCTTGTGAAAACCTTTAATACGTTAAATTGGGATGCCCTTTTTTTTTCTTTTTTTGTCTTTCTACTAAATAATAGTCATTAATGAAATATCAAAGTGTGCACGCAATAAAGTATAAACAATTTCTTGATCTTTACGCTTTTATCCTTTGTTCGTAACATATTCAATGTATTTTCTCATTAACATTTTTCTTTTTTTCTTAATATATATTAAACCAATGATATTTATTTAATTCAGCTCATAGATGAAAGCAGGAAAATAAAATAGAAAACAAAAAACTGTAAATAGAACAAGATTAAATAAATATAGGAAAAATTATATATTAATAAAACAATCAAGTCAATATAGAATTGATCAGAAAATGTAATCGTAGTTTTATGAATGTCTCGTATACATACATATATATATATATATATAAACTATAAACGGATGTGTATCTTATGAATATTCATACACTCTAACAGTTGATTAGTTATAATATGAGAGCGAAAACATATATTTTATGGCTTTTCGTTATATGTGTTAAACATAGAAAACCTAATTATATTTTTAGACATAAAAAAAAATTTGTTGATCTAATAGAAAAGTATTCAATTAAATTATTAAATGCAACATGTGACAAAACTATTAATCATATTGAATAAACAAATATCTTACAAAAGTAAAATATATTGATATAGTTTTAATTCAAAAAAAATAATTAAATAATATTAATTATTTATTATTGAATATGTTAATCTAATTAAAATCAAAAGAATAATTAAATTATCTTTTTAATATTAAGATTCTTTATCAAAGATAAAACTACTTTTTTGTTTTTCAATAAGATAAACTTTGTCATGTTTCTTTTGATGATGTCATGTTTTTTGAATATTAATACAAAATAAGACAAAATAAACGTATCATTCGTATTTCTTATCTATAAGAAAGTTTAGCAAGACAAAACAAAAATTGTAAAAACATCTACGCAGCAAAAATTTATCTTACTAATATCGAATCAAAAAAAAAAAAATGCATGTTCCCGATTTCGACATATCAACAAATTCTTCAAATCGATCACAACGTATTTTTCAATTTACAATTATTATTCTTTCCATTCTATTAGGATTATTATGTCTTGCTGGATTTATTGTAACATCTATTAAATGGAATTTATCTCCTGATCTAATTAATGAATGTCAAAATGATACACAACCAATTGTACTTTGTTATATACGTTTAATTATTAATAATAATCTTTTAACACAATGGGATCGTTATATAATGATATCACTTTTATTTACTTATGCAACTGTTTTTTTTCATATTATTGTTGAATCAACTCGAACAAATGTTTCTGGCCTTCTTGGACAAATGATAATTCAAACAATATTTATTATAGCTGGTATTGGAGTTTGTTTTCCGATATTATTTATTCCATCATATATTTATTTTTATAAATCAGAAAATAAGTTAAATAAATCACCTGTACCAATTCATATTTTATATACTGGACTTATTTATATAGTTTTAATAATTATAACTCCAACATATTTAATATATTTTCTCTCATCAAATAAATTGATTATTTCAATAATGTCAATTATTCTTCTTATATCTCCACTTGGTTTCGCTCTTATATCGTTACCAGTTCGTTTATTTTCGGAATCTATTCAACGTTGTTGGATCATTAATAGTCATCGACTTATTGTTTATTGTCAAATAATTCTATTTATATTATCAGCTCCACTTTTTTTTATTACATTTGTTTCACTTATTATGCATTGGTCAAATGAACTAATTAAAAAAAGTTATGTAAATGAAATATCTAATATGATCAATCCAATTACAATTATTTGGTCTATTGATTATATATCATTATTTATTGGTCTTATTTTATATCTTATTACAAATGAATATTTACTTATTGATAGTATTTATCTAAATCGATCATCGAAAATTAAAAGATTAATTGGTTGTTTTATTTTTGCTGTTATATTTATTATTTCACCATGTTTAGCATTTCCGTTATATATTGCTTGGAAAGAATATCAATTTGTTGAACTGATTTAATTTAATATTTAAAAAAATCGCATGAAACTTGTTTGTTTTTGTTTTGTATTTTTGTGTCTTATTTTGTCTTTGAATTATTTTGACAAAATGCTAAAAGGAAATATTCTAGGTAATTTCATTAACTAGTAATATTTAAGATGGATTAAAGATTGTCATTACTTTCTAAAGAAAGAAACTTGAAATAGGAAGAAAGAAAGAAAGAATAGACTAATCAGATGAAATAGGATTTTACTCTTGTTGAAAGAAAGAAGAAAGAAAATGAAGGCTAGTTGGGGTGTTTTCATGATGCTATTACTAAATCTCTTTTTCTTTTTCATTCACATTGATACTCTATAGACACTTCTACACCTCCTTATTATTGAGTATGTTTGGTTCTATTCTTTTCTTTTTTTTTTTTTTCGAAAAATACGAGAAATATGAATGATGATTGAGAATTGCCATCATTATTATTAACATCATCATCATTCATGAATCTGTCTTCATATTCGTCTTTCTCTACGTTTAGAACTCTCTTCTTCTTCTTCTTCTTTGTTTTTTTTGTCATACCGGGTCTATTTCAATAAAAATCTGAGAATATTAATAACATTTGCGAAAAGCAAATTTATTTAGAATGAGAACAAAAAATAACAACTAAACGATACGAAAGAGAGTGTTGATGTTGCCCTATTGCTTCTATATGAAATTGTCTCATGACGGACACGATTTAGTAAAAGAGCAATGAAGAGAAAAAAAATAAGGGAACATACACGCAAACATACATTGATATAATGAAAAAAAGACGACGACAATAACAACGTCATAGCAGCAATACTGTTAGATGAAGAAGAATCATCGTTCGACGCATGATCTCTCTATGATGAATGCATACACACATACACATTTAGCTTGTTGTTCGTCAACCGATGTCATCATTTTCTCTTTCATATTTTCAATTTAAAGGTTTGAAAAAGAAAGCAATTAATCTTCTTTTTTTTTCTCTTTTTTATTATACTTAATGTGTTGATAATAAAAAAAAGTTTAATGATGAAAAAAAATCAAAAAACTTGATAATTTAATAAACATAGTTAACTAACAAGAAACGAAACAACCAACAATGTAAGTTAATAAGTAAAAAAAAAAAAGAAGAGATGATTAAATTCTTGCTTCATTGATTTATATAGCTTATTTTTATTATTTTTTTCTTCTTTATTCATTTATAGTAACAAATATCTTCTTTTTTTACTTTTGATATTTTCTTTTCTCAATTATTATATATGGTATTTTAATTAATGGCTGGTGCATGTGGACGTTCAAATCGTAGTCAATCAAAAGCAATGATATTTTCAACAGGCGTATGTATATTAAAAATTAAATAATTATTTAGTTTTCTCTTATCATCATTATTATAAAATTTTTTGATGCATAAAAATAATTTTCTTTTATACTATTAAGATTAATCAAAAACCAAATTGAATTTTCTTTTGTTATATTATACACTATAGAAATATGGTTTTATGATGTATATTAGTCGTTGTTGATTATTCCAGTTCAATGATTAAAATATAGATAATATATTCAGTTGGATTAATCTGTTTTATAATGTTATTTTTTCCGCATGTAATTATTTTTCACAACCATAGGCAAATAACGACAAAAAAAAAAAAGAGTCAGTAGAACTATCAATGAAGTACGGATGGAAAAAGAAAAAGACGTGATAGTTTAAATATGATGTATATGTGCAAATTGACACTTATATAATGAAGATGTGTAGGATGATTAAATAATTGAAACAAAGTTTTTTTTTTCTACATTTATTAATATATATATATATATATTGAAAATAAATGATGACGTACTTAGTATAAACAAAAACTAATGAGATTTTAAAGAGATTTAAAAAAACAATATCTAGAAATAAATTAATTATAAGAGTTTATCAATTATTCAAAATAGTTCTTTGAATTATTTATATAGAATAATGTTTCTTTTCAAATTAATTATAAAAAATATATTTCTAAAGTTATCTTTACATAATAAATCAAATATTCTTATTATATTATAGAGCAAATATTCGAAATTTTGCTATTCACTTTGATTTTTATTTTCGTTGATTATCTAATTAAAATTTAAATAGGATCAAGATTTGAAAAATTTGATATCTTGTAAATAATTATGACACTATGTGATTTGAGAATATTAGAAATATTTTTATGAATATATAATTTGGTGTTGCTTTAGTGAAGTTTGACAGTATATATGTCAAATTTTGGTGTTCACTTTTTGATATATTTTGACATGATGTTGTAAACCATTATTGATGTTAACATATGGATCAATGGCTTAATTATAATGGATATGATGGATGAACATGAAACCCATTGTTTCGAAAATAATACGAAACAATATCTTTATTGGAAAGTTAGTTAAACACTCCTCGCAATAGAAGACCTTTCATTTGTTAATTAATTAATTTCTCGAATAATTGGAACTTCAATTAGTATATTTACATCAAAAATATGACTAATTAGTTTTCAGAATTTCGAGTAGAAAATCTTAAAAGATTCAGTTCAATGTTATTTCTTAGGGTTTACTCTCGATTCGTCCCTAATTAGTCAATTAGGTGGTTCTCCTCTTAAATGTTTTTCTCAATTCGTCCCTTGTTGGTTAGCAACAAGCAGTAGTGCTTTTGTATCGTAGAGCTTCATCAAAAAAAAAAATTACAATACAGTATCAACAATAATGAAGTATAAATTTCTATTATCACTTTTTGAATAGCCGTGTCTTGATAGCAAGA